CGCTGTGGCAGCAGCGCAGATCGTGGTGGATAAAGCAAGGGTGGTGCTGGACATCGCTGAAGGTGCTTTGGAACTGGCTAAGCTTGCCCTGGAAGGGGTTAAAGCAACCATTGAAGCTGCCAAGGCTGCTCTTGAAGTAGTGAAGTTTGCAGTGAGAGCGGCCTCCAAAGTGTTTGAGCTGATTGTCACTTACGGGCTGCAGTCCATATTAGATGTTAGGCAGTGTGGGTTCCGAGTGGAGCTTTCTACAGTCGACTTACCTATATTTGATGTGTCGTGTGAAGTGAATGCATTCCGCCTTGGTTGGAGGACCGTAAGGATAAGGATCAACTTTAAAAATATATTGCAGAGCCTACTGGAAGCAGCTAAAGCTACAATTAAAGCACTTTTGAATGCACTTAAAGGTGCCTTCGCTGGACGAAAACGCCGCGAGATAGAGTTTGACGTGAACGTCAAGATGCACACCTTATACAGGGTGATTCGTCAAACTGGGAGCATCGAAGCAGGCGAACAACTATTAAATGAAACCCTTGACGTAAAAGATGATATTACTGGCTTCAAGAACAGCACCGATGAGGATCTCAACAACCTTAGTGACGAGAAAAACAGAGTCGATATGTTTGCAGAAAATTGTGACACTTTTAACGAAGCGGAGGGATTTCTGCGTCGCGTCTTTGGCTCCCTTTTAAGTGTTGCAACTGACTCCAAAGCATCGTTAGACAACGTGACGGCCATGTTGGAGACCTTCCCAGATGTTGACACCCCTCAACTATCGAATGGATCATTAGCGTCTTTCGGGGTTAATGTTACGGTCGGTGAATCTGATTACAATCTCACGGCTGAGGAGATGGAGGCGACGTTTGCGGAGACCCTGGCGAACATCACGGATGATCCGGAACTTAAAGAGGCTCTGGGGGCGTCTACGTTTGCCAAGAGCATAATTCTGGAGGAGACAGAACAAGCAGCGAAGATGGCGTTTGTGGAAGCGTGGATCAGTGTCGCAGAAAATATTACATCATCGACATATCCGCCTGATGTTTGTGCCAACTTCAGAGACTGTGTGGTGTACGACCTTGGACGTCTGTATGACCTATACGATACTAGGCCAGTAAACGAGCATATTTTCCCCATTGAGGTTGGAAAAAATTGGTGACAAAGGTTTCTCAACTGATTCTGGTCCGTTGAAGGCCCAATATAACCCAAAAAATTTCCCCCATGAATCCCCCCATGGCAAAGTCTCGTTTTCCACAAAAATCCAAAATGGCCGCTATTGAATGGGGTGGGTGGACTTGAAATCCATAACTTGGGAACCCATTGTCACAGAAACATGTTTTAAGTATCAACTCCTACTAAGTGGGGGATCCCCAATCTTTTGCAACTGAACTCAAGGTCACTGGAGGTCAAGGTCATGACCTTATTACAAGATCAAGGCATTTTTGGAGAAAAAAAAACCCATAATGTCTATATGACAGTTTCCCAATGTCACAGAAACACGTTTAAAGTATCAACTCCTACTAAGTGAGGGATCCCCAATCTTTTGCAACCACTTTCAAGGTCACANAACATGTTTTAAGTATCAACTCCTACTAAGTGGGGGATCCCCAATCTTTTGCAACTAAACTCAAGGTCACTGGAGGTCAAGGTCATGACCTTATTACAAGATCAAGGCATTTTTGGAGAAAAAAAACCCATAATGTCTATATGACAGTTTCCCAATGTCACAGAAACACGTTTAAAGTATCAACTCCTACTAAGTGAGGGATCCCCAATCTTTTGCAACCACTTTCAAGGTCACATGAGGTCAAGGTCATAACCTAATCACAAGATCTATACATTTTGCGAGCAAAAAATGACGTGATGTCCATATATTGGTAACCTAATGTCACAAAAACATATTTTAGTCTTAACTATTATTAAATAATGTACCACCAATCTTTTGCAAATTTATTCAGAGTCATTAGAGGTCAAGGTCATGACCCTAATTTCAAGGACACTGTATTTTTCGAGCAGAAAATTCCCATATTATCTAAACCTTTGTAATTGGATGTCACAGAAGCATGTTTAAATATCATTTCCTACTAAGTGAGGTTCTGCGAATTATTGGTAAATGCTTTCTAGGCCACCAGAGGTCAATGTCATGACCTTATTTTCAAGGTCATGGCATTTTAAGCTTGAACAAAATGCCATCATGTCTATATTTTGATAACCCTATTTCACAGAAACATGTTGAAAGTATCGATTCATACTAAGTTACATATTGCTGATCATTTGAAACTATTTCTAGGATCACCAGCGGTCAGGGTCATATCCTCATAACAAGGTTGTTATAACATTTAAGAAAAATTGATTTTACACTAATCAAAAACAACACAGGTGATTGTTTAAAGAATATTTCATTACAGAAAAGGCATCGGCACTACTGCATGGTACTCATTTAAATCAATGACAATCGGTTTACAAGGCTTAAGGGTATACTGTACCCATTTCAAAATCACTAAGTGTTATACAGATATATGTTTAAATAAAGCTGTGTTTTACATTATACAGAAACTAAAAGTGAAAAAAAACATCAAGTACCTGAACCTTGTGTGAATATTCCACTATATGTCAGAACTACATTGTTCAAAACTTCCTATTCTATTGCAGAGAGGAGTCGAGCAATTACATTTCTTCAAAAACTTCAGATACATGTGGGAGACCTTTAAAGCTTAATAACATGACATAAACTTGTTTCATACTGGGCAAAGACAGCCTATTACACAACAACCATTGTAGCCTCACATAAGACATGTAAAAAATTGGAATATTACAGCATTCTATAATACTGCAATGGGGGAATTAATTCATTTTGGGTACATAAACATTTAGATAAAATATTATGGAATTAGAAATGAGGACGTTTTATATTGGCCACAGGCTGGGGGGAAATATAACCAGGTGGAATGGCACCTTTTTATGGTATTTACCTTTTTGCCCAGAAGACAGGTTGCTACACCATTTGAACATCTCTCCAGCTTTTAAAAACCATCAAATGTTGATTTCTCATTGATATACACTTCCAGTGCTTCTCTCAAATTTTCGAACTTACTAGCCACAAGTTTATCACAATTGCTAGCTGTGGGTCTCTATACTAACAGTAGGTCTACATGTAGTTGTGGGATATGGGTCAAATAAAAGAGTCCCTTTCAGAGACAAATTCAAGGAGCAATTTGACTGCATGATGGACAGTGGTTAAAAGGCAATTGTGTCCTCTGCAGATAAGTTGGACTATTTACTTCAATGCAACTTCAACTGATATTTGTTAGAAGGCTATATACGTTACATGAGACTAGTTACATGATGAGCTTTAAACTGAAGGACACAAAGTCCTTTACATACGTGTTAGATCCTCGCCCACAGCTACAACTGTTTGTACGTCCCTTGTCCTTGGTGCTTTGACCATCAGATACAGGCCTGTAGCCAGTGGCATTCTGGGTAAAATTTTATCTAGGTACACAAATATTTCTAGGTCCACTTTTTTCAGAAAAAGCCCCCCTCCCTCCTTTTGAGACTGCTAGCTTGTCATAATGACTGTCGAATGAGATGCAGCAAAGTAAATGAAGGATGATGGTGAGAGCCTGTAGCCAGTTTCCTATTCTAACAGACCTGATAAAAACTTCCAGTTTGCGATCATGTCTCAGTACTAGTTCTCCAATCTGACAGGAGCTGGCATGATATGAAAACATATAACTACTTTTGACACAGATGAGCACACCAAAAAACAGCAGCTTTAAAGTTTGTTGACCAAAACATATTACACTTTCTAATAGAGAGTTCACTTGTGGTGAACAAGTTCTCCCCAGCAAGTGGCCTGCTGCTTATTTCAGAATCCCACTGCAGGACCAAGAATTGGGATATTTAGGAAAACAGATGCTGAAATGACGCTCAAAGGGCACCATCTACAAGTTTGTCTTCACACAAGACAAGTTACTAATTTTCCACTCAGCACATTAAAATTACCTAATGAACCCAAGTATCGACTTGCGACAGCATGCTCAGTAGGCTTGGGAGAGGTTGTAGCTTTTAGACCTCACCCATCCATGATAGAGCAGAGTCAGAGCTATAGGTATTGAATCAACCATTAAGAATCAACAAATTTTACCATTGGCAATTCAGTAATGGCTAGCCTTTGGTTGTCTTAAAGCAACCAAATACAGATACTGATTAAATGGGCAAATAAATGTGCTTTATCCACTATCTCCTCTCTACAATGGCACACAGATACTCCAAAGTAGATCATACATACAAAGGTGGGACAAGAAGGCTTTAGGTCAATCATTGGGCAGACAAGAAGAGAGCTTATGCCAATAGTACCGGTATTAAAATGAAGTATTTACATCAAACAACAATGGGCTCAGGTCGCTCTATACAATGTAACATTTGTCATAAAAAATGGAGATGCATATTTTGCTCTTAAACAATCTTATGTGTTGTACTTAGATCACCCTAGAATCAAATTTTCATTAAATTTCATGATGACCTTGCAATAAGGTCAATCCTGTACCTCCTAGATTTTGGAAATAGTTGCAAATGATAAACAGGACCCCATTTACAAGGCATTATTGGCACGCTAAACACGTTTCTGTAACATTTGATAATTGAGAAATTATGGTATTTCGCTTGAAAATCTTACGATCTTGTAATTAGCGGTCATAACCTTAACCTCTGGTGACCCTTAAATTAGTTGCAATTGATTGTTGACTTCTCATTTAGTAGGAATTGATACATTAAACATGCATGTTTTAGTGACGGACGGTTACCAAGTTATAGATAATATGATATAACTCACTTGGAAAATACTATGCCCTTGAAATTTTTTCATAATCTTGGCCTCTGGTGACCTTGAAAATAGTTGCAAGTGTTTGGCAGTGTCCAACTTGGTTGATACTGTTTCTTATAACATGTTTCTATGACAACAGGGGAACTGTCATATAGACATTATGGTTTTTTTTGCTCCAAAAATGCTTTGACCATGTAATAAGGTCATGACCTTGACCTCCAGTGACCTTGAGAGTAGTTGCAAAAGATTGGGGATCACTCACTTATTAGGAGTTGATACTTAAAACATGTTTCTGTGACATTGGGAAACTGTCATATAGACATTACGGGTTTTTTTCCTCCAAAAATGCTTTGACCTTGCAATAAGGTCATGACCTTGACCTCCGTGACCTTGAGACTAGTTGCAAAAGATTGGGGATCACTCACTTAATAGGAGTTGATACTTAAAACATCTTAAAACATGTTTCTGTGACATTGGGAAACTGTCATATAGACATTATGGGGTATTTTTTCTCCAAAAATGCCTTGATCTTGTAATTATGTCATGACCTTGACCTGCAGTGACCTTGAGACTAGTTGCAAAAGATTGGGGATCCCTCACTTAGTAGGATTTGATACTTAAAACATGTTTCTGTGACATTGGGTTCCCAAGTTATAGATTTCAAGTCCACCCACCCCATTCAATAGCGGCCATTTTGGATTTTTGTGGAAAATGAGACCTTGCCATGGGGGGATTCATGGGGGAAATTTTTTGGGCTATATTGGGCCTTCAACGGACCAGAATCAGTTGAGAAACCTTTGTCACCAATTTTTTCCAACCTAAGTTGTTTATTGACTGGCCTATACCAATCTACAGTTACCGGGTGTCGAAAGCATCAAGGGTTATCTTCCCGCTCTGGAGAACTCAATCCTGGCACTTTTGAACAGCGAGGAAGACATAGATGTCAATGAGGCTTATCAATATAGCCGAGAAAGCATGGATCACCTTGATAATATCAAACTTAATGACGTATTCTGTAAAACCGCACCGCAAATCATTGCAGGACCCAGCAACACCACTGTTTCGACTGGAGAGTCCGTGCAGTTCACATGCGAAGCGACTGGTGATCCCACACCGGACTACTCCTGGTTTAAGGATGGAGAGGCGCTGGGAATAACCTCGAAGACCTTGCGCTTGGAATCGGTGTCAGATTCAGATGCGGGATCATACTCGTGCCGAGCTGAAAACTACATCGCAGGCGTTGACTCAGAATCTGGATATTTGACAGTTATCAATGTTGGTAAGAAAGTCACCTCTCTCTCTCTCTCTCTCTCTCTCTCTTTGTGAATTGCCTTGGGCTTGCCTCATTAAACTACCGCTGTGCACATCAAGGCAAAATACAAGCAGCAAGACGAATGCATACAAGATGCAAGCTTGTGTCCAAAAACGTATGCTTTTATACCTGTATGAAAATGTGCATTTCAACATTGTTTGAAAAAATTATATGCTTTCTCTTTTTCCAGTAATTGCATGCCCGACTGCTTTCGCCAAGGTGGCTCACCCCTTCGACTGCGGGAAGTTTGTGGTGTGTGTGTGGTCAAGGCCCGTGGTCATGACCTGTCCCCGTAGCCAAGACGGGCAGCTGGTGTGGGATCAGAGCCTATTGACCTGCAACTACGTCCGTAACGTACCGCGGTGTCAACATGACCAGCTCGGCGAGTAAATCACGCCTGGATCACGTGAACACCATGTTGTTATCACGTGATAATATTGTGAAAATGACAAACCATGCTGAATTTTTTAAAGTGTGTTCTTATTGAGATGCTGTTGTTATGAACTTTTTTCAAGCACTCCAACACGATATAATATGCCCCTTTTTCACAGTTATTTTATTGCTGTTCTGGTCCGCATTAACGCTTAGTAGACTGCCCTATATGAAATATTATTATTATTATTATTATTATTATTAAACTTATGAAATAATTAAAACATCTGACTACTCATACACAGATATATACACTAACAAACACACGTATATTACCATGATAAAGGTGACTTTATTGGTTGAAAAAAAAAAAAAAGATCCTCGAGCGGCTTTCGATATTTACCACTTCATAGGACATTTGTATTCATATATATAACAGTGTTAAATATAATCCCTTCTTGCATGTATAGATAAAATAGTAGCCTAATAAAAATTTATGGAAATAAGTATTTTCAGAGTGCGATGCGACTTGATCAAGGCGATTGGAGTATACAGTTATGTACCTTCAGTGCTTCGTTTTAAACCCTTTTTTCATCGTCTTATATTCCAATAGCCTACCAATTCCCTGCCGTGTGCCCCCCCCCTTTGAACGCCTCTGGACCCCTTTATCAAAAATCCTGGATCCGTGCCTGTATATCCCAGAGTAATTAATAATCGCTCAAGACAGACACCCAACAGTACAAATGTTTAACAAGTATACAGAAATCCTCAAATCCGTGCATACGGTTGTGAAAGAGGTTTTAGATCACATATATTGTAACAATTGGGGTCAGTGAGGCTAGCAGGCCGCTATAAAAATCATTAGATGTAATGTAAATACTGGCCAAACAATAGTCTGCATTGTATAACCTGTTTCTATTTTCTTTTTTAATTACTTTTCACTAAATCCTACAGTACCTAAAACTATCATTGGTCAAAAAGGTTGTCCCACCAACAGTTTTATGTGCTTTTATTTATAGATGACCACATCACCGGATTTAATTGCTATGAATGGTGATTTTCATTCCAGATTCCATTACTAACATGATTAGTGGTACAGAAAATACAAACTAGCGGCGAAGATATCAATATTTATACCACTTATTCACTTTTATTGCATGTATCCCCTCAAATCTGATGTTCCACTGTCATTTCCACATTAAATTGAAAAGACACCACCAAACGTCACCAAATTTACTCATATTTAGCATTTGGGTATGGTCGCTTAAGGTCACGTGCATGTCTATTAGCGTTTGTGTTTACTGTGTAATATAATTACCTCCTGTAGACGGTGCTGCTGCCTTCAACAAGGAAAACCATTCTGTTTTGTTGGATATCCTAAAATGCTTGGCGGAATTGGTCCTGACTATTTGGAGTTTGGTTCTCCTCTGGACTGTTTGGTTCACTGGCGAATTCAATTAAAGGACTGATGTCACAATGGCATCAAATAGATTTTAAAAAGTTACTGATACAAAACACGATTTTAATCCTTATTTCCATGCATCAGTCATAAAAATAAATATTTCATATTAAATGGCAATTCTGTAGATAGTAATGAAATGATATCATTGTTTCTTCTTGTCGCCGCCTGTTGCTGGATTCTGATCACACTTCCTCCTGCATGCTCTACAAAGAATCTTGATGCAATAGACACCTAAGACGACCACACTTAAAAGAAAACCTATGACGTCGAGGCTATAGAATATGTACCATGGCAACTGTGCCCCCGGTGACTGTAAATGTGAGCCCCCGAACCTGACCACGTGTTCAATCCAGTAGACCGCCTGATCCACGAGACTCATGGGATAGTCCCGTAATATCCGGGCATATCTTTTGGCGTTGCTCTGATATGTGGAATTTGAGGCCAAAATGTTGATATTTTCCAGGAGCTCGCCAGGAGAGAACGTTGCAACGGACATCTTTATAGCCAACCCTCTCTTAACGAGTCGCTCAGCGTTGTGGGGCTGATCTCCGGCGATTGGCATTGCCAATACTGGGACGCCGTTAAACAGCGCCTCGTACGAACCGGCGTTGCCACAGTGGGACAGGAATACTTTCACGCTCTCATGTGCCAGAAGATCGCTTTGTGGTAACCAAGACATCAGTTTGATATTGGGCGGTATTTCCCCCAAGTCTTCTCCACTGTAACGCCATACGACTCCATATTTCAGCTTGCTGAACACACTCAGGAATCTTTTGCTGATTTCTGTAGGTAAATACTTTACGACAGAGCCAAACGAAACTACCACTACTCCCTGGGATTTGAATTTCTGTACAAACGCTTCCAGATGGTCTGGCAAAGGTGCAGGTTGCTTCACACCCATGCCGCCAAGTAGGATCACATTGGGAAGGGTAGGGATCGGTTCTAGGGCAGGATTCACGCTTATCACCAGCCAAAGTATACTGTCTCTCAGAAATTCGTTGAATGTCTTTATTGGCTTATGGGGCACGTGTCTCTGCACCAACTCCGCAGGTATTGAGGGTGTAAATATAAAGTTAGAAACCAGTGTGATGACAAAGTTCTGAACACGTTCCATGAAGTCCATGTGTTCAGTGAAGGTCGTGAACAAGGAAGGTACAACAGATGGGAGAAGAGGCAACCCTGCCTGACCTAGTAACGAGGTGAATGACGTAATACTGATTACAGGCAAGTCCAGTTTGTAAGGCAGAATCTGGCAGTTAGCAAGAAATGGGTACGCCCCTATCACAGCCACGTCAAAATTGAACGACGAAAGTTTAACGAATAGTTCCTGGTCCTCCAACATTTCTGCACATTGGGACGTGAAAAACTCAGCCGCAGTTCTCACCAACCGGAAATTCGTCACCATATCCCCGTCACTTTGTATCATATCTTTGACGTCATTCCTCTGAAACTCCTCCGAACCCAGAATATACTCCTTGTCCGTTTTGAACGTCAGGTAATTGACACTGCCGTCCTTGGTGGAGTCGGGGATGGGGAAATTTGAGCCGACAATGACGTAAACTTGGTGTCCGCGTTTGTGCAGTTCTTTGGCCAGGTTATGGAAAACCAAGGTGACACTCTTGCCTATGCCTGGCATTGCTAGGAATCTGAAATGTTCACAGTAACTACTACTAGAAAATCACTAATTCTCAAATAGCGCCAAATATAATATTGTAGGTATACAGCGTAGGCTGAATAAGTTTTCTAAGATTTTACTTTTCTCATACAAATAAATGTATAAATAATACATAAATAAATAAATTAATTAATCAATAAAAGAAAATATAAATAAAAAACCTTGAATAGACGCCCGCTGAAATAAGGTAAGGGTGGGGAAAACTGAAATGGAATTGCACCCATCCACGCCACTCAAATACTGCAGATATTGAGGTTGACGTCACAACCACTGAGCAAATCGTACATAACGTCACGTAAAATGGTTCTAATAACAGTATTAATGCTAGACAGAAAACATTTCACGTCCAAGTATACCCACATTTATTTAAAAAAAAATATATATAATCTTATATGAAATCCACTCAGACTAAATCTTTTATTAGCTAAAAAAAATTAAAGACTAGTTGATTTTTCCTAATCGTTGCAGAAGATAAACAGAACTTAAATTCTAGTTACCTCGCGCAGGAACAGGGTGCCACGTGGCTCAGCGTCCAGAGACTAAAAATAACTAGTAGCGACACAATTGGCGTCCGCACTGGTGACATCATGTAGGTGTTTCCAGTCCAGTTTTGACGGTTCGACTAAGTCTAACATGCGTTTAAGATGTCGTGATACTTCTTTGTATTCCCTATATTATTCTAGACGATACAGCGTCTGATGACTAGAATCTATTAAACCAGAAAGTCTGTCTTCCCGAGGAAGAAAGTCATGAAATGGTCCCGCTTATCAGTGGAAATCACAACCTACAAACTAAACGTTGTCACTGCCAGATGACACTGCATGTACACGTGACGATATCCTCATGCACCAAAGTTAACTTACACATGCACTTACAGCAACAGACGAACGCCCTTGTTGGACTGAGCGCTGACTTAACAGAGATACTGAGGACGTCTCATCGCTGCTGAATGTCGAAATGCCCCGTTGTACTGCGCGCGGAGACTGAAGCCGTCAAAACAGGATTAAAACACCTCTAAAGTTCAGTTTATACTACACTGAACAAATTAAGAAATCTGCCCCAATCGCATTCATTTTAGCCCTACAAGAGTTTGTTCCATATAATGACCTTTGTAAGTTCAAATAAGCCTTGGGGTCGACGTCAATATTTGTATTTCGCGATATGCCGGGTGTTATACAGGTACAGTAGGATACAGGCCATGGTCTACATGTAGTATATGATAACACGTGGCCGTACCCTCGAAGATATCGAAAACGAATTTTCTTTCAAGTTAGATAAGTATTACCCGAAGTCGAATAGTTGGTGTTCTCAAAGTCCACAAAAGTATGATTTCTATTCACGTGTTTGAGCTATTTTGATAAGTGCAGGAGAGTTAGGAGTCGGAAATTTCACTAAAATCTTCTTCAGGATTCATCATATGTGGGGTATACTTATCTAGCCGCTGATAGACCTGTAGTTCGACATTTAAGACAAAACTTTATAAAGACAAAAGGTCAAGATAAGACCAAAAAAAGCAGTGATCTTACAAATATACAGACGTTTACAGGAAAAAAAGTAGATTGAACCTGACGACCTCTGCACTGCTTGTTTGAGTAAGTACAAGACGAGGTTCAACGTCACCGCTTTCAAATACATTCCAGTGGCGGATTTAGAAGGGGGCCAGGGGGGTCCTGACCCCTGACCCCCCCCCCCCCCCATTAGGTTTCTGAAATATATATTACACCAATCGTCCCCTCCTGAAATTAGAATTTTGACTAGCTGAATCATAATTCTAAACCGTGCCAAAGGGCACTGTTTGCTCTCCAAGGCCCACACCAATAGGTGGCAATTGACGGCTTCGCATACGAGGCCGCCGTTCTGGACCCCCCTTCAAATAAACCTGGATTCGCCCCTGCATTTCATGTGATCTGTGTAATGTCCCACCCACGTGCTAGAGGGATCGACCTAACGCCGACAAATATGCATACATCAAATAGCAAAATAATAATAATAATAATAATAATAATAATAATAAATAAATAAATAAATAAATAAATAAACAATAATCAAATAAGAAAAATAAACGAACGAAAAAATATAATTTCCACAATATTTACAAAAAGTTACCCGCGCTTAACTGACCAATTTATCTATTTAATAGTTGGAAATGTAGCTCACGCCTCGATAACGTTAACCTTTCCAAGTTTTCTGTTCTCGAAAAAAAATGGCGTCAGCAGCATCAAACGTCAGGGCACTATTGGCTATAAAATAGTAAATTTGTTTAGGACGGTGGGATTTCGGTACTGCTTTTACCATCATTTTTTTTATTTAATAATTTGAAATATCTCATCACCGCACCAGTGAAGTCCACATGGCTGGGCTAATTAACCTCCTTCATCGCAATGTTAAATGCAGTTGTAGACACATTTGTCATCACATATAATGTAATATTCTTGCATCTGCAAGATACCAGTGCATTTGGATGGCTCATTTCAATTACTGTTTGCACTAAACAACACCATTTTGCATTTTAGGTGCAAAATATGTAAGCAATTATCTCTCTCGCAGCTTTGAAATAATACATTTATCAAGACAGAATTAATTTTATAGTTAAGTCCAGCATTGGTGTTGGAATTTTTTTGTTTCATTTCCTAACAGATTGAACATTCAGACAATAATTTCAACTTTTATATATCGTTTACACCTATTTATCTGGATAGGGGATAGTCATAACCGTTCTCAATTACGAAAAGTTATGTCCGAGAGTGTTATAAACCCTAGGTGGCGATTTAGACGGCTATAAAAAGCTCCGCCGAAGCTGGGATATCACCGCCAGTAGATAGTCGATTAATGACGTCTATAGTCGTCTAAAGCTGCTACTACACTCTGTCTCACTACGTTGAATACCCGTCGCCTAACCTCCAGGATGAACTCAAAGATCTGGTCTGCACTGACCGTGGTCTGTGTCCTTTCCTGCCTACAACAGACGCTGGCGTCCGACGTAAACTGTTCTGGCTGCTCTCCTGAGGACTGTGAGTGTCAGATCTGGTGTCCGCCTCCCGTCACCGTGTCTCCAGGGGGACCGCCCCTGCAGGAACCCTGCCTGACCTCATGTGCCTGTAAGAGCACATAGACATTGGTGAGTTTATCATGGTATCTTGGCTGAGGCAGAGGCACATCTAGAGCGCTTGACCTTTATATATATTTTTTCATTTATATATTTTTTGTATTACTGGCATAATGACATTTTGATAATCCCTGAGATTAACGTTTTTTTAAAATTGTGCATGTGCAACAAACCTCATGTTGGCTGTGCGTGTCTTTACTGGGTCATTTTTTATGAAGAAAGAACAGAAACTTGAAACTGGCGTTTGGCAATAATTTTGATGATATCACTAAATTACTACGTGTGTGTCAATGTTTTACACTCGACTCTACCCAAATGTACAGCTCAATCTTTTATTTAATTCTAGAAAACAACTTATGGAAGACTCGCCAAGCATAATTCCTGTAAGTGGAGCAACTTTCCTCAAAACGAGCTAAGGAAGAATTTACCTGAAAACATTATGAAAGAGTTTGTAAAATGTGTGTTGATGAATAAAATGATAAATTGTCATTTTCTGTTAATTTTCAATTCACCCCAAGCAATGCTCAAATTTTAGTACGTCACCCGTCTAAATTATGCACTGGTAATGACTATTACTTTTCTCTAAAGATAGACGTTCGCGGAAGGATATATAGGCACTACTTATATTTGAGAGGTTTTAAGGATGTGAAGTCCGAATTGGAAAGGTTAGTCACGTATATATACAGACTTGACATTTAATATGGAATATTTTTTCTAAATCATCATTCATCAGTTTTTTTTTCCTATTTTGCAGACTAATAAATAAAAATAAGGATTAAAATTGTGTTTTAATAACTTTTGATAAAATGTTCCATGTCATTGCGACATCAGTTCTTTAATTGACTTCGCCAGTGAAGCAAACAAAAATGCATTGCCAATTTTAAGTCATACGACAACCATTAAAAGCAATATTTTGGATCTCCATATCTTCCAAATTATCGTCTTAAAAAGACTTACACGACCCACAAAGGACCCTCATGTCAGTGTCTAGTCACAGTAACAGTCGCTGCTATGCCTGACCTTATCTTCCTGCTACCAAAGATTTCAAGAGGCAAGGCATTTCTTGCGATAGTTTTTTTTTAAATTTAATCCGGAATAAAATTCCAGGCAACGGTTAAAACTTGTCCAATTTGGTTCAGTTTTGTTGTAGGACATGCATGTCTTTGATTCGGCGACTATTGACCGAACCACATATTGTCAAAGTGGTCCAAATATGGCGATTTTGATGACCAAGGTAGCTGCTTATTCATTTGGTTCTGTAAGTTATCTGCTATAAAAAGTTCTCTGTGTGAACCAGCAATCTGATCGTGCAACCTAAAACTGTTCCTAAGGTGCCCCCTATCAAATGATAGTCAATATATAGCAGTCAAGTGGTTCCCAGATTATTTCTTTATTTGTTCTGGTTCAGGTTTTCATCGATGACTTCCATTGGTGTTTTGGCACCAATGTGGTATCAACTCCAAACGCTGTCAATGGTCCTAGTCATTTCAGAAGCGGCACACACCTTGTCGCAGGCCTCTTCAGGATGTCTGTAAACTCTTTTTTGACTAATTTAGCCGTACAGGTGAAATCTGACCTCAATAAAGAAAACAATGCGATATAAACGGTCATGGTCCCCAATTCCTTAGAGAAACAGACTACGCTGTTTTGCTGTTTACAGTGGCTTCCTCAGAGGTCGCCTAATATCCTAACCTGCTGAAATCATTTTGGTCTTCGCTTAGCGCCTTGAAATACGCGTTTTGGTGACAATTTGCCCCTCATTTAAAACGGACTAGGTGGTTTTGGTTTAATTGTAGCAGCATTTCCTGAAGGACATTGAGTCCTGCATCCCGGTGGTCTGATATCGATACATTGGACGTGTTGTCTGTGTGGGTACATAACCCTGGGCATTACTCTATGAAACTGTGCGGGCAGTTGGGGCAATAATCTGCCTGGCAATGTCTGTCTTTTTCGCGCCATTCTGGCACAGCTTAACGATTTTGATAAACAATGCTTAACTCATTTTACGCACTGCAAAACCGACCACTTGCATGCAAAATTTCAAATTCTTCTATGCAATGGTTGCCGACATATGGATACATTTTTGACATAACCATGCCTCGCCAAAGCCAAGCTTTGGCCACCCCAAAGGAGCACTTCCCAATTAAATCACTGCATATTACACAATGCAGCAATGCATCAGACTTGGTAATCAGTTAATTGGTAGAGACACACCTGTCGTCACACTTCCCCAGTCAGATATCTTATTTGAGATCTGAGATTTTTCAATAAAAAACTCATTTTTACCTAGGTATACCTTTAAAACTGAAATATTCCATATTAAATGTCAAGTCTGTATATGCGTGCGTGCGTGTGTGTGTGTGTGTGTGTGTGCATATGTATGCATATTGAACACGTGCACTATAAAACGTTAAGTGCTTGCTGGATAGACCCTTTAAAATATACTCCATAAAAAATACAACATTGGAACATGTCAAAATACGTTCAAATCGAGCGTCGGATATAGGGGGAATAGATCAGTGTTTCCTAAACCCCTCTTCGGTAATTGGAATGAAATCACAATAATAAATCCTCTTTTGAAGTTAGAAATTTCACAAGCTGAATCAATGTTCTAAACTATACCAAATGGCACTGATTGCCTTCCGAAACACCAAAATAAGTTGGTGCAGACCCTGAACCCCACGCCACCCCTCGTATCCGAGACCTGTTATTCCTTTAAAAAGGCTAAAACTCTATAGCTAGTATATAAATGTACCGGGTATATATGAGTAAACCTCTATCATAAATGCATTGGCCATTAAAACTGGGCAAGTTTCTTTCTCTTAAAGCGAGACAGAAATACCTGCATACATGTCTCTTTTTCTATGCTCTGAGATGTAAATATACACGATCAATTAGATCTTTTCTCTCGAAGTTAAATAAAAGTCAATATGCAGACACGAGACAATGGGTATCCCTATTGACCTGGCAGTTGCCATGGTCGGGTCAGCGTCAGGTAATAAACAGACACCATATTTTTGCATATCTCTCAGCAGCTCTAAACGGGGCAGGAAGAAAGTGCTAGGACCCACATTTCAGGGATTGTATTAAAACAATTGGCAGAAAAAATTGACATGACTGTAGGCCTAAAGAGTACGCTGAGTATATATTTATATAACTGTGATCACTCCTTATCAGGGCTGCATCATCAGGAAGTAAGTACAGGACTAAGAATATTCAACCTATCGGTTGTGACTAATTCAATCAATAGGCTGCATGCTTTCTACACAACTTGTATCATTAAGCAAGTGACGGCCAGACATGGCAGAAGCACAAGCTGTAGCTTTTACGGATAATCTTCTGACGTGTAGCATCTGTCTTGGAGAGTATGAGGACCCCCGTGTGCTGCCTTGCTACCATACATTTTGCTATGGTTGTATATCTGAGCATGCTACACGAACGACAAATCAAGACGGGACATTTCAGTGCCCCCTTTGTAGAGAAAAGATAAATTTCCCTAGAGACGGACTTGTGAAACTAAAAAAAGATTTCCGTGTTCACACAACAAAAGAACTTCTGAGTCAGAAACGGCAACAAGAAGTCTCATCTCCAAGTAAAGAAACAGATGTTAATAGTGTGAACCAAGTGATCATCAGTTGTGAGAAACATCCTAATAATGAATTAAAATATTACTGTGAAGATGATGATACTATTATATGTTGTGAATGTATAATAACAGAACACAGTGGTCATCGTATTTCATCAGTTGAGCAAGTTGCAAAATGCAATAGAGATAAAATTAAAGTTGCTCTAGTGAAAACAATGAAAACATTGAACAGGTTTAAAAATAAATTTACCATGGGAACAGTCCGTGAATCAAGGGACTCTCAAATCAGGACAGTCACTATCAAAGACATCAAAGATCAAGCACAGAGGATGCGCAAGTTAATTGATCAGAGGGAAGAGACACTGATATCAGAGGTGAATTCTGCTTATGATGTCAGAAAGAAGCAGAATGAAGCAAACAAAAACATCCTTGAACTTCACCATGCCTTCATTCAAAGTACCTGTGATTTTGCTCAGAAACTTATCGATAATGGCACTGACTCTGATATCATGGCTCATGCGAAATCTCTGACAGAGAGACTTGCAGCAAAGGAGAAAACTCCTGTCCCAACTTCAGACATACTAGCACAGATATCTTACCTACCAGGTGAGATATCTGCTGCCGGACTGGAAGCCATGTTAGGACAGGTGACGGTACAGTCACAACCTCCATTAGCTGAGCGGCGAACTCCACCACGTAATCGTGCACGTGCACCACCTCTTCCCGATTTTGCAAAGTTAAGATGTATGCATTCATTCAATACAGGGCTGAGAGGTGCCAGTAAAAACTTGAGCATGTATCCAACATACGGATTAGCCATTGATGAGTTACAAGTATTTGTAGTGGATATATTGCATGACAGAATAAAAATGTACACACATCTTGGGAAGTTAAATTTTGACATTGATATAAGAAGACCATTTGATTTAACTGTGTCACAAACTGATCACCTGTATATAACATCAAAAGGGGAGAAATCTGTGCTAGTGTACACCACTAGAGGTCAGCAGGTGACAACCATGGGTCAGGGTAAACTGGAGGATCCACGAGGTATTACACTGAACAGAGAAGGGCATGTGATGGTTTGTGACGGTAAAAAGAAATCCATCCTGGTATTCCATGCAGACGGTCGACAGCTCCTGGATACTATTCCACTCAGTATGTGTAGAAACCCAACTTACATCACAGTGAACAGTGTGAATGATAACATTGTGATATCAGACGTGGACCAACACTGTGTACATGTGCTGTCACCTACTGGTGCTCAGCTGTGCCAGTATGGCAGCACAGAGGGTAGCGGTAATGGTCAGCTGGCTAGACCATGTGGAGTGTGTACAGACCGCTATGGTCACATCCTTATTGCTGACTGTAATAACCATAGGATAGTGGCACTGAGTCCCCGGGGACAGTTAATCAGATACATTGTCACTGAGAATGATGGATTAGAGTCTCCAAAAGCATTAACCATCGATCATGTTGGCAGGCTGGTTGTGGAAGAGGCAGGGGGCAACGTTAAGACATTCATTTACATTTAAGTACTACTTAAAAGTAACTACTGATAATATTGTACACTTGTGGAGATATGACATAATACTGCTGTTAATAAAAACCTTACCTGACAATGAGGCTAGGTTGTAACCTGAACATATAGTATAGTATAGTTTACCGGACAACTATGATAGCAAAGAGGAAGGAAAACTATATTTATATACATGTAGGGTAGTCCGAAGAAGATGTGGCTGTTTTCTATTGAAGGGAAAACTGTACAGATATGTCTGTACATAAAGCCGTCACCTGCGTTTGTCGTCGCCATTGTCGCTGGGCAATTTCAGTGATAACACAATAAGTGAAAACTTTTTTTTTTCTTTTGGCTTGAAACTGATGAATATTCATAATATGCAAGTCAAAATCGAAAATCAGCATGATTGGGCCACTTTTGTCAAATTTATCCTGTTTTTTTCTCTATTTTTAGCATCTACATGCAACACCAACAACACGATCAGTGGAAAACTGTTTTAGCTTCTGACTTAAAACTTACAGAACTGATGAATATTCATCAAACGCAGGTCAAATTCGAAAATCAGCATCATCAGGCCAATTTTTAACAAATTATGGTGTTATTCGCTTTTTTTTAACACACATGCAACACTGGTGACACATTTTAAGGAAAACACTGGTTTGAACACTGAAGTGGTAAAGCAATTATCTCCCCTCACACATTCAGTCCAAACTTGGACTGACTTTCCAGATAGCCAGGTGAAGATAGCAAGCTAGAAGAGGGCAATTGTGTAAGTAGCAAAGGGTGGTCTCTTTTCCAGTAAGTGCTAATTGCCTAATTGCTAAAGGGTGATTCAGATACCACTTCAGTTGAAGTCAGACCAATTATAGTCTTACTCACTGGACTTTCAGTTCGTTTTGAGTTTAAAGATCAAATTAAGACTCCTCATATAATCTTTAAGATCGCGTCAGACAAGTTTTAGACTTAAATTGCACTTTAAGACCAAATCAGGCCCACTAGTGTAAGCATTATGTATTATTGCACCTAAATTGAAGAAAATCCTATTTTTGGCATCGCTTCTATATTGACCATTAACGGAAAACCATGTCTCTTACTCTTCTCAAACTTACAGAAAAATAACATAGAACTAAAATACAGCTTCAGTTGAAGAAACTTGTCTTATTGGTCAACTTTTCTGGTAATCATATTGTTTATGTCAGAATTAAAATGTTCACATATCAACATTTTCAAAGCGTGACTTTGAACTTCCATGGGCTTGAAGATCTTTGTTAGTCAGATTTTCTGAATATACATAATACTTGAATTTTATTATTAAACATTGATGGTCATTATGCTGTTAAGCATTATGTAATATTGCATCAAAAATAAAGAAAACCCTATTATGGGCACTGACTTTAAAGTGGCCATTAAGAAAAAACATGTCACTTACTCTTCTTAAAGGAAAGACACATAAGACTGAAATGCAGCCCGACTTGGAAAAGCAGTCTAATTGGCGTATTTTCCAGTTGCACATATTTTTGGAATTTCTATCTTTCACTTATTGGTATTTTCAGTGTGGGACTTAGAATTCCCACGGGCATGAAGCCCAGTGGTATTACAAAGGCTAAGCTTTTTTTTTTTTTTTTTTTTGTTCACCATAAATGCAACACTGATAACACATTTCTAGAAAAACTGGTAAGTCCACTGTCTTGAAAATCAATGAAGTGATCAATATTACTAAAATATGGGTTGGGTTCGAAAATCAGCTTGATCGATAAATAGTATCACTATTGAGCTTATTAGATTCTTTTCTATGTTCTTTTGACATTTTCTCCATCTAAACAATACTGTTAGTTAATTATATAAAAATGTTGTGTATTGTGCATTAAACGGATAATAACTGTTTGTTTTGGTCAAAAAATGAATTTTCCTGGAGTAAACAGCAATTTTCCCATTACCAATGGTTAGCAATTCCATTTCGACATTCCAAGTTATTTCCTGATTTTTTTCTAAAACATTTGGTTTCATGTTATAATCTCTTAAGAGATTATTACAGAGTATACCCATCGATGGAGGTCACGTGGTCTGATGACAAGCTCAGATATCAGAATAATAGCTGTAACTGCCGTTTTTGAGTTAAAACAGAATATATTATATTTCTATGAACTCTTTACAATGTTTTTGTGAATAATAGATCTGATACGAAGAGTTATCATCCCTTTAAACATTCTATCATATTGTTTTATGCACTGTCATCATTTTTTTTAATTTTTCGATTTTCATTATGTAAATTTGAACTCTTATGGTCCTGAAACTGTAATTTTATTGCAGCGGTGGATTAAAACCATCTTCTGGGTCTCCCGGAAGACGGTCAGATTTTAAAGTTTACATTGACGGGTATCTATTTTTTTCTGTTGGAAGACCATCAAAACTGGAGGATGGATCAACAGAGATAATTTGGAAGACTGTCAGAAAGTATATCTGGATCCGCCCCTGTTATTGACCATGTTACCTGTTGTGCATGATTAAAATTCAGTGACGATTGACTGTGCTCTTTTAAGCATTATTTATTATTGCATCAAAATTGACAAAATGACCTTTTTTGTCTGCACATTTGACAGCTTTGCTGCCTTGTTTTTTCTCTAGACCTATACTCTTTGCAATATTTTTTGTGGGGATACCTAAAAGGCTGTCTGTCAAAAAAAAAAAAAAAAAAAAAAAAAAAAAAAAAAAATCCCAAACTGTTGATAATCTCAAGAAGAGCATTAAACTGAGATGAGAACAATTCCCCATGTGTGTTGAACATTGTCATAACACAAACGATAGTTACAGAGATCCATCTCCAAGGAGATTGGATAGAGAATATTATAATCTATTGAGCTGTGCTCGCGAAATTATTGTATATGAGGAGAAAAAAATGTACTAAAAAAAGGTTACTCAGTTTTTTTCGGTACCATTATGTATTAAATGAATTTCAAAAGATATTGTAATAAACAGCTGAAAATGTAACGTCATGGTTATAAATGTAACGTCATGGTAATTATTTGAAATGTAGTAAGTCCATGTCATGAAGTAGTGCCGCTTTGCGTCATCTGCGATAGCTGGCATAAAAAAAAAAAAAAAAAAAAAAACCCGTAGTCTACCTTGTAATTAAAATTATATTGAAATCAAACAAGTCATTTTGATAGAAATGTAGAACAGTAGGCCCCTAGTTTCATAGTGCTTAGATAAATTGAACAAAAACGTGAGGCAGAAATCACACAAATGACCAAACTTTATTTAGGAAAACAATTATTACACATTTGTAAATTCCATAAATATCATCTAAAGTTACTTTGCCGTCGACTGTAAATGTAGTAAATGGCAAACCTCCAGTTATTTTGATAAGTGGCACAACTGGTTTGTTCAGACCACAACTGATTTAATATACATATATCAAAGAATGAGTAATAAAAACGACAATGAATACAATTATTTTGATCGGATCTCCTCTCTCAACGAAACAAAATATTCATCATGACCATAAGGTCTATTGCACATGTTACAGACAAACTGGGAGCAAAATAAATAAATACATAAATAAATAGAAAGTTTTTGACCATAAGAAAAAGTTTTTCTAAATATCACTCTAGCCACACGAGAGGGGCTCTATTTTAAAGAATTTTCAAACTGTGTGCTTATGGAAAAATAGCTGATATGAAGTTGAACTACCAAGACAGAAGTATGTTGAGTGATAATCCTATGATTTTTCTGTCTCTCTTGCACACTTGAATAAATATGTGAACCGAGAAACTAGATATCTTGAATTTTTAATCCCAAATGCGCCCATAAAATATAGCACAGGTGCTGAGCTTTCTTGTAATTAAATGCACCGATCTTAATATGCATGAGAGCGTAAGTCACTTAACGAAAAAGTCCAAACTTTCCATACAAAAATAGGCCCTGTATAATAATAATAATAATAAAAAGAAATCCATAATTCTGCAGAAGAACAGGTGTGTTCATGTGTCTCGTTAAGTACACCATAAGACAAAAGGCGGTCAAGACACGGCTAAGACACAACCAAGACTTCTCATTACAATAACCTAAGTGCTCTTTATATCATTACAATGAGGCTTAAATACATTCATACTTCACATATACAAAATAACTAGAAAAAAAAACAAAAACATTTAAGCACATGCAAGATCAGTAAATGAAGACTTCATCTAAAATCACTTTACAAATACCTACGATCCACCCTTGTGTTCAAAACTTGTCAAACCTCAAGTTGGGCCTTAGCTAATAGAAATAAAATCAAGTTTTAATATCTTACAGTAAATATTCGATACAGAAATACCTATGTGTATAAATACTATTGTACAACAAAACATCTTGATAGTCTACACTTAATACACAATGACAAGTCAGTCTGCACTCTACATGCAGCTAGCATTAACAATAAGAAGAAAAAAACTTCTGTACTAGTATGTTTACCTTCTACCAGGGTTACATGTAACAGATTGATTTTTCATTAGGTAGCATTCCCATAAACCCATCATACTAGCTGGATCAATCTAACTATGTGGGGATTCAGGCTAAATTGCATTCAGTGTAAGCAGCTTAAATGCCAGGCACACCTAATCAAGCTGTTAAGATATAATTAACAATAGTAAATCACCCACTTGTTACTCAAGAAGGCGTGCCAGACAATTAAGCTGATTTCACTTTTAGAAATTTTGCTAGAAGCCCTGCAGAGTTAGATTGGTCCAGGTACCCCTGTAGTATGATGGGTTTACGGAAACGCAGTCTTATATATTCACTGATATGTCTCTGTCTAATTCATGTCACAATGCTCCACTGTAACACTTAAGAAAAAACTCACATGATTAATCTTCAGTCGTGGAAGAGGGTAGTGAACTCATAGGTGTGGTGTTGATTGGTTGACATTTTGCTCTAGTAAAAATAATAAATAAAGGTAAACCTGGACATAAACAAAAGTTGAAAAAAATTAATTAACTGAATGATAAATAAAATAGAATTAACATAAGCAAGTCTCTTTTACAACAACAAAGTATTCAGTGCGCTAACCTGGTACAAAAAGCAGCTACAAATGTCTTAAGAACAAATGTCTTAAGGGTGGTTATTTGGTTTAATCTAGTTTAGACCCTCTGCAGCACAATCTATATTTAAACTGACATCAGAAAGCACATCCTACTTTCATAAACATCAAAATATTCTTAAAATGCACGAATTGTAATGGGACTAATATATTTGGCAATTGCTGACTTGGCATGCTGCCATGGCAACAATGTAACCATGGATACAATGATTCATTTATTCATAACAATAATAATAATAATATTAATACTGATTGCTTCACTGTTTTTCACTATGTCAATTGTTATCAACAAGATAATTTTAATCAGGGACCCGTCTGCAATAAGGAGCATTAACTAGGTCATTTTGGATAAACTTTTGTTAAATATAATTTTCCTCAAGAAAAAAATGGTCATCTTGAACAATTTCTAACTGAAAAAAACTTATTTTGACACCAATCACGATTCATTTTCTGCCATCTCTGAACAAAAATATCAATATTCACTGGGACATTTTCAAAAAAGTATAGCATAGCTTTAAGTTGATGTATTTTAATTGAAAATGCACCTTTTTTTCTAACTTGATTCGATTGGTGGATCAGGTGTTGTCACTGGTCCAAATGTTGATGACGCTGGAACACCAACCCACAATTTTTGACAAAATTGGACCAAATAAGACCCACCAACTTTAAAATCTATTTTTACATGTTACAACAAATGTACTGATTGTACTACGTACGATATGTCAGAATACCACATAAATATTGGAAATGAAAATAAATATATATCAAATATCTAAAATCTACCACTTTTGATTTGGGAATAATATTAGAGAAAATATTGAAAATATTGTTGCCTTCCTTCACTGATGATAAGGATGAGGCTTGATACTTGAGCAAGTTGGAATTTACAGTATGGAGCACTTGGACTTCTTACGTCTTGTTTTCCGCTTATTGTAATCGACAGGCTGGTTCCTGAACATAGGAAACAATAAACTTTGTCAGCTAAAGAAGCAGGCTATTGCAGGGGAGAAAAAATGCTTTTCAGTCATGCACTTTTGCAATAAGGGAAATCATTAAATTATTTTACTGATTTAACAATTATACAGTGAAAAATAACTAAAGCTTACTGAGAAACCATTATAATCACTATAACAGAGTTCAAGCAATCAGAGAGTGCATCCTCAACCAAGACAAATAATTTCTTTTAATAATTAACCATTAGACACTTATTAATTAATCATGATACCTTACCTAATAACTCTCACAACCTCATGGAAAGCGGCGTCTACGTTGAGGGGAGGATCTTTAGCACTTGTCTCTATATACTGAACCTAAAACAATACATTGTAAATAACATTGCACCTATATGAAGACTAGATTTGTATATTGGGTTCTATATACACACAAATAAAAATTACAAGACCAATATTCTGCATAAATATATCCTAATTATTACAGCTTGCTTTAGATAACCAAAACCTATAAACACTTTTTCCAGAAATGTAAGTACTATAATCGATATATCTCAAATTGAGTATCATCAAATTTTGGAGAGGGAAGTCTTTCACCAAGACAAAATTTTAAAATAATAATGAAAGTAAAAATCCAGTTAATGCAGTCTGTTAGTACAGACTAATGACCTTACCACCACATAAAGTGCAAGAACTCTCCCCTCTCTCTCCTTCCTTTCTCTTTCTCTCTCACAACACACACACGCACGCACACACACAGGTCAAGGAGAGCCCAGACTGCTAATCTTACCCCCAGCTGTATTGCCAGATCTCTCCCTTGCTCCTCTGGCACTTTCCTCAGATGAACCAGATCCACTTTGTTGGCTACTAGCAACATGGGATAGGAATCCCTGGAAGACAACAAACATATACTAATACATATTACTGTACATATACTTTGTTGGCTACTAGCAACATGGGGTAGGAATCCCTGGAAGACAACAAACATATACTAATACATATTACTGTACATATACTTTGTTGGCTACTAGCAACATGGGGTAGGAATCCCTGGAAGACAACAAACATATACTAAGACCCCATTTCCAGAGATTAGATCGATCTACTTTAGATCGACCTAACTCCCTGGGAGTTCACGCTAAATAGCTGTCAGCCGAGCGGACACGAAAGTTAATTACCCTCTTGTAGTAGGCGGGACGGACATTTAAGCCGGATTATCTGACAGTAATCTAGTTAGACACCCCGCGGGGATAGATCGATCTAAAAGCTCTGGGAATACAGCCTAATACATAAGATTGACCCATTATGGCCAACTTAATTTGGTACAAAGCTGAGTCACTGTGGAAGTGTTCTCTTCACACACACACTGTACACATACTTTGTTCGCTACTAACAACATAAGGTAGAAATCCCTGGAAGACAGCAAAACAATGATAATAATAATAATCAAGATTGATCCTCTGATTGATCAATGAATAAATGATCAAATGAATCGATCAATAATTGGTGATGATATTTAAAATAGATAAGAAATGACCACATGAATGCTTGATTATGAATAATTTGAATATTTTAGTCTTTTTAGACAGACATTTAAAAAATAAATAAATAAATTTTAATTGTGTCTTCTCTCTTAACCTAACATGTGCGCTCGCTACACTTCTCACCTGTCTTTCACCCTCAATATCTGTGTGTGGAAATTTCTAATATTCTCGTAGCTCTGTCGGTCGGTCACAGAGTAGACCAGTAGAAAGCCGTCTCCTTTCCTCATGTATTGCTCTCTCATCGCACTGAACTCTTCTTGACCTGCTGTGTCCAGCACTGGAAGTGAAGAGATTGAGTTACATGTAACATATTATTATTATTGTGTTGGGTGTGACTGGTACTGTGGTAGGACTTATGATTATTGTGTTAGGTGTGACTGACAGTGCACTGAGTTGCTATCATTGTGTTAGGTGTGACATGCATTTTGTAAAGAAATTTTACCTTATTGCACTGATGTTAAACAAAGGCATGATAGCCCTGCCCTAATACAATTCCACATCTATTTCAACTCATGATAAATGATAATGTTCCCAAAGAGCATTGCATATGGGATTAAACTGCTGAGATCCATCAGTTTTTTTTAATCAATGTATATGACACATATAATTATCCACTGACAACAGACACACAGTCAAGTATGACTTCCCATCTTTAAGGGAATATGCTGCAAGGGGAGTGGGGAAGGGGTGGGGGGCAGTGGGGTGGGGCGGGGGGGTCACAATAACAAGTTCCAAAAACAATCAGGGACGTGGGGGGGGGGGAGAGAACACATGTGCCAGATTATGTTCTCCCATTACCATTCACTGCAGAAAGTGACAAAGTCAAGGTTATGTTCCATTCAGCTGTACAAAACGATCATTTTCTGATAGTAAAATTGCTTTTGTCTTTTATTAGATAAGCGGAGTGAGCCCAGCATATTATTTCACTTAATGCAAGCCCCAATTAAGCTTTCCCCCCCCCCCCCCCGCCCAACCCCCACCTTAATTAAATTAAACAAACACACATAAATATACCAATGCACGTTTGCACAGAAAAGACAGTTGTGGGAATGAATGGGCAAATGATTGTTTTGCAAAATTTTACTTGCCTTTCAAAAATACGTGCAGCACATCTGTCTATTAATTACATGTACCGGTACATTTTCCAGTGTTGTTTCTATATCTACTGTACTCAGTATACGCACTCTGCAGTGTAAAATGCCCATCCCAACATGTTATTAAGAGCAACTCACCGTCCAATATGCACCATTCTCCGTCTATCTCCGTGTGCTGGATGTACGAGTCTTCTATCGTCGGGTCGTAGTCCTGTACGAACATCTTCTGGAAAAACTGAATGGTTAGAGCGCTCTTGCCGACGCCCCCGTCTCCGACTACCACCAATTTGTACGTCGTGACGATCTCGTTGGGTGGTTTGGACATCGTGTGTGTTGTGTTGAGTCCTTCACGTTCGTTGTTACTTTTAATACCGGACTGAAACGCTTCGATCAGTCTTCAGAGGCCGGTTTTGCTTCAATCCGCCGCCAGACAGAAAAAACTCTCGATGGCGACCTTCACCTTGATGTCTGTAATATGAACGTCAAACAATTCTCACTTAGCTAACATACGCACGGTGCAGTAGAACTTACAACAAAAAGGATATCTTATCTATTTGCACATAAAGAAGTTATTGCCGCAATCAGTGGGCTGAACGTACCTCTGTGACGCTCACATGGCCTTTAGTACTGTTATTGATATGGTCCGGCTTTAAAGTACCTGCTATAAATAACTCGTGATATGATTGGCTGAAACTGCATGTGACGTAAATGTAATATAAAATAAGCATTTTAAACAGAGCAACGCAAATAATAGTCGGAATATTGACATTATTGTTTGCTCTTTTTCTTTGGGTGATATATGTAACTGCAAACAATGTCATCTGACAATGAATTATTTTTAGATGTTATTTAAAATACACAGATTAAATGAGAGCAGCAATTGCGTGGTGTCGCATCTAACACACTCCGTCTTATAAAGACCCAGGTGCTACATCTCTTTGGAGAAGAGAGGAAAATATGTGATCTAAAGTCATTAATAATAATAATAATAATAATAATAATAATAATAATAATTTACTTACCGTTAATATATAAATTGTACAGAGGTAAATTTAATTTGCACCTAGTCCATAAACATGTCATTTCGTAGTAGGCCTACATGAAGGTCCAACTGGTATGTTTAAGTTATAAACACAACTCAGCGACAACTACATGTGGCAAAACACTGGGAGAGCACACGACTGTGCCAGTAATGGTAGAGGTTGGTTATCTTTTTTTTTTTTTTGCTTTTTCTTTAATTAATGAATTTTAATAAATAAATTAATTTTGATAAATCAGTTTATGTAATAATCAATTAATGGATCACCACCGTTTCTGTAACTAACCAACAAGGTATAACTCCTCGAACAAACAAACCAGCTAAGACAAAGACATATTTGGAGGAGACAACAAAGAAAATACTTTTGTATTTCATGACCTTGTTCCGTCAGAGGTTACTTCCACAGAATATGAAGAAACAATTTCTACAAATTAAGACGCAAGTTCAACGTAAAAAGAGCTTCATGGCTAGACAGGCACATGTAACCTGTAAAAGTCACTGGTGGCTACTTCAAGGATCTAGGGACGTCCCCCCCCCTTCCCCCCCTTCGTCCAGAAAAACAAATCTCAGCCATTTCACCCAATTTCCCGTGGAAAAAAAAAAGAAAAGAAAAAAAAAAGGAAAAAAAGAAAAAAAAACGAGGAAACTACTCTTATTTTTTCTGAACACGTCGCTGGGCGAATTATTGGTATTATTGTCAGGTCGCTGACTCCATAAAACTTGCCAAATCATCCCTATTTATTCATCAAACTCATTCAAAGCTCTGATAAGAGTATTTTCTGAAACTAGGTGATGCCCAATGACATGCTTTCACCGCCCCTCGCCCTTACGTGCCCCTGGCGTGATCCCGGATTCCGATGTTTTTAAGCAACTTATGAGGTTGATTACATCTGAACATGGGACATCAAAGTCACTCAGGGCCTAATGGCAGTCCGTCACAAAATTTAAATTTTTCTTTCTTTTTTATCTTAAGATGAAAGTTCACCACATTCCTCTGAAGTGTATCCCGGAGTGGCCGAATTCGTGGGCTTGGTGAAAAAATATTTGAAGCGAATCGGTGACTCTACTCCTCTCTTTTTCAAATGCACATTCTCTCTTTCTCTCTCAAACACAAATACTCTCTCTCTCTCTCTCTCTCTCTCTCTCAGATACAAATTCTCCTCCTCTCCCTCCCAAAAACCTTAATTTCTTATTTTTCATCATTGCCCCAAAGCCTTAATGCTGGTCTCATTACCTTGTAGACAGTGACACGACGATGTGATTACATCGGATTAAATAAATACATGTGATATTCATGATATTGTTCGCGGTGAATTCTTCACCAACGCCTCTTCCTTTAAATTTCAAATTCTTGTGAGTGCAAGGCAACGTGCTTCAGATTAATAAAGATAGCAATTCAAAAAGCGTTTTTAAGTGGTGCAAATTATGGTAAACCACCTTCTATTTTTCTCCTTTCTGGTCCTTTGTAAGTGGGGGGTTTAGGAAAACAGCGATGACTATCATGATAAAATCGCTTGAATCATCTCCCGTGTCCAGGCGAATACATTAGAGTTAACTAGCTCTTCGGGGTGCAGACGACAAAGCTGAGGCAGGGGACGACGCTGGCAGGAGATCTGAGAAGAGCGCAGACGATATATTTTTCTTTTCTAAGACACTCCAAATATTCCACTGAAGTATACGCATGCTGTTTCGGTGACACTATTACAACTTGAACGGTGACCCAGAGATGGAGTATTGCAGCAGGGACGCCATGATTCTTGCAGTTTTAATTTGTTTAAGCGCTGTGGCTACAGGTAAGTGATAGTGATATACATTCTGATGAAAATGCAGTAGATCATTTTGAAACGGTTTTCAATTTCGGAACAGTTAGCAGGGTCTTGGATGGCGTGTTTTGATTTTTATATCCGAGAGGGTTTTATGTACATAAAAGAGTTGCTCCCCTCTAAATAACACAAAAGAAAACCGAACAATACGTGTAAATTTAAGCCACAAACCTAAAAAATACCAGGCACAAAATGTACTTTAAACAGAGAATTTCAGTCAGCTGGACAAAGAAACAAACAGAACAAAAGGTGTCCAACTTGTTTCTCTATTTCTTTTATTAATATGACCGACAAGTACGACATTTTCGCGCTGGTTTTAAGTATGGTGTTTCCTCCACAAGGCAATGCGTCTCACGTACAATGCCATGCTGGAGTGATTTTGTCAAGTCATTTCCTCATTCGTGTCACAATGTTGTCAACAAGGGTTAACATTTTACGATCATTTTCAATTTCAACAAACCACCCAATGAATGAGACTACATAAACGTTACTAAATATTCTACTGCTTACAAAATTCAATTTATTTATTAATCAATTTATTAAGATTTCCATTCAGACAAAATATACTTTATGAATACTTATAGTTTGAAGTTTTATGTAACAAACCACAGAGCACACATTCTGTCGTGTGTGTTTAGGGTGAAAACTATACTGGACATTTGACCATGATTCTGCATCCTTTGTCATTAAGTTTTTTTATTGGAAAAATACCTTGCCGCTGAAATGTTAAAATCATTGTGCAAATTGATAGATAAGAACAAAAATCATTATATTATAACACGCACATTTTATTAGAATTCATTTCCAATTCTTTTATTCAACTGTTTCTTTCTAAGTTATTCCATTTATGAATTTTGCGTGATATAGATGTCATATATAAAACAACTGTCTCGTTTAAGTCTGTAGTATTCATCTGATAAATTCAGGGGTAATACTGATGACCTTTCTAAGATCACAGCCAGAATTGAGTCTGAAGTTTAATATTTTATGTAAAGGTTATCAAAGTCTCAACATTTAAATATATAGACTCTAACATTTGCGTCCTCCTAGTCCGTTACTTTGATGACCCCTCTTCGGATTAAGACCCCCGCCAGCGTCTGGGCACTGCCCAATAATTACACGGCCATCTGAAATGTAAACACCAGCGAAATTACACGAATTAAAACTTCTCCTGCAGAGATATGCGCGCTGATATACAAATATCTTAGAATAAAATTTCTTGAAGTGCATATGATATTATGGTAGTTTAAAACGCAGGTGAGCTTTTATGCATAAAATCAGTTTGGACATCCAAGCATAAACGTTTTTCGCATGCATTTTAAGCCCAGTAAATTTTGTTGATTAAAAAATAACTTTGTGGGTTTATATGAAGTGATATTCCAAGTCCGCATACCGTAGCTGTCATCACTCAGTCAAGTGGTAGTTGATGTAGATGTCATTCATTAAACACGATATTACATTCAGCATATACAGGCGACTGAATTTCGTTTAACGCATAAGGCAGGTAAATTGTTCTGGTCACGCTATGCCATAAATTAAAGCGGAGTAGGAGAAATTCACCTGGTTGATACAACCTTTAAATAAAAACAGACATTTAAAACACGAGGTAGTTCCTAATTGAGGCAATTAAAACATTACACTTTATATTATCCAATCCCTTATTTTCTTTCAAAAAAAAAAAAAAATAAATAAAATAAATAAATAAATAAATAAATAAAGCGTACTTTGGCATGTGCGTACAAATATACGTTGACAATCCTGCATTTTACTACTGACGAGATGGAAAGAGCCCCAGGAATAATTACAGTTGATTGCAACAGCGAGATTAAACCGGTAAATCAGTCCACGTAGCGGGAATAAAGATGTAGTGATGGGAGAGATAGTGTTGAACATGACACTGTGGTCAACGTGACAAGTGACGTCGCTCTTAAGACGTTATCACAGGCGTTATATATGGCGCCGTTTGAAGAATATACCTGTATTTATGTTAGGAATTATGAAATAGGTTTTATATGACGCAGTTCGAATAATTAACTTGTTTAAGGAACTATGAAACAAAATTATTATGTAAACTTGTCCAAATTTGCTTATAATATATTTTTTGTTCATTTATTTATATATTCTTTCCATCAGTCATATATTCATCTATATAAATTAATCTGTTCACTTATTAAACAAGTAATTTGTTCGTTCATTTTTTTTTTCAAATTTTTATCCTTTAAACCGATCAGCCGACAAGCAGATAAAATGCTGCAGTATATCTAAGTAGCATAATAACAATCCGCCCATCAAGAAATGTCCCCATCTCCTTATCAGTTCATAATGCGTTTTTGATGGTCTCAATTTTACGAAAATCATTTGTAACACTTTATATCAGTATTAAGTTCAACCATTTTTTTTTGCACTCTGTAACTCGGCAGTAGCACTCGTTGTTCAAGTATGAATATTTTCTGACAGTCTTCTAAATTATCTTTGTTGTTCCACCCTCCATTTTTGAAAAATTTTTGTAAATTTGAAAAATTCTGACCGTCTTCCGGACGAGCCTCCCCCTCCCCTTTCATATAACGCCGTTGTTTTCTAGATGTACAGAAAGACAGTAATCGACTGCATTGTATAAAACGAACGACAACAGAATAGCACGTTGACAAAATGTATCTCTGAACTAAGACTGAAGGGTCACATCTCCAAGAGATAAACGGAGCGGTCAAGCGTTCACCAGGATATCGTCACGCCTTTGGCTCTAAATATTATCGTCTGCCTGTTGGAGAGAGACCACAGACTGTTGTGACCAGTATGTAATACAGGTGTTGTTTCACACACTTGTCTCAAGAAAGATACAGAGACTGTCAGTAATTATCTCGAATAGAAGACAGATAACAAACACGCGTGTTGGAATGGGTGATTCCGGCATGGAGTTGGACATTTTCAGAATATTTTCAAAATAACTGTAATGTGAAGATATTCAAATTTATGGATATTTTGGTAGGCTACAATATTTATAAGCACGGACTGATACGTGGTTTTGATAATCTGTTTAATATAAAGTAAACTCCAACCGATCAGATCAGTTTATATAAATAAAAACATATAAAACAGTACAAATGGAGCGGTGAAGACTAAAAGAAACTTGGTTTTGGTGACACAGACTGAATTTTGCGTGTTTTCATTTCTGTGCCTCCAATTCCACAGGACTTTCATGTCTTAGGACAATCAGGACATACCTGTATCTTGATAAATGATTGGGCTCATCATAAAACAAGGAATTTAATCTCAGATGGATTTGGTCGATTTTCGACAGTAAAATATCATTCGGGAGGGGTAATTGATAGTTTTGAAAAAAATTGGGAATGATTTCCAGCTCTCTCGGATGTCATGCCACGGTTATGACTCTGGTTTTATTTTTGGAAGTGACCACAATAACGAGGGAACTATGTTATTGGCCAAACATTTGAAAATAGAGGCCTTTTGACAAAGATGACTTTTGATGCGATTTATCTCATATTTACTAAACGTGTAGCGATCCCATGAGCGGCCTAAAAGAAATGATAGACGCAGATCACGTGTTCATTTATTGTGTGATCTTCTCACACAAAGGCCAGATGCTCCAACAAAAATATGTTTAAAATATGTCATGCACTACAGTTAAAATTGGAGATCCTTTTCCATCCTAAAGTATATACAATTTTTTTTTAATCTCTGACATGTGGTTTTTTGACGACAACGTTTACATTATGCAATATTGTATAGCCTCTATTTTTCGGACAGGAAGCTCTCTTCTAAAATAAAATATAACTCATTTCTCTCTTACAACTATCATAAATATAAACCATTCCTCTCGTACAACTACCTTGGATATTTCATCTACCAAAATTTGAAAAAAAAAAAACACCCCGTAATTCAGATTTTACCAGATAATCTTGATGGAATCCGATATGTGTGCAATATGGATAAGGTTGAAAAGTTAAGTAACCTTCGTGCAAACGATCCGAATCTCAGGGTGACAAAGAGAACTTAATTAAGGGTAATCTATGCGTCTGATCCTATCAAGTAATCGGCACCGTGGACTCCAACTAAGAGAGCTATTAATCGCTGTATTTACCGCTAAATGATGTCATGAGGTCGTCATACAAACAGTTTTTACTGTCGCATTTGATGGGACATGATTTCCTTGTCACGAGAGGCGCTGGAGCGTGGTTTGTATCCTGATGTTGTAACCGCATGTACATGTACATTGATCTACGCGTGTAATTATGTTTGGCAGGGTAATCACCCTTCGGACGCACGCACACATACATGAACCTTGCCCATTTAACACAAAATATCTCAAGACTGAAAATGCAATAACGTTCAAAGCGGATCCTCATATGTGCATTTTTTTCTTGTAGTTAAAATTTATGTTTACGTTCGTTACTACAAATTTAAAAAAAGATGGGTTTAAAAGTTAAGGTTCCCGGTAACCATGTTGTTAATTATGAAGATAAGGAATGACATTTGTTCCAGTAAGTGTCTTCAGCTTGTTATATTTGTCATGTCCAATTACCCATCTTGGTTTTGGCCGAGTTAAATCATCTTTTTAGGAGGTCGTTTTAAGAACACGGACCGCTTCGTATTTCTTGTTTGATAATAATTCATTGTGTGCTTGTAATGGTACGTACTAAAAAGTCTAAAATGGTTGGTTTTCTACGCGACTAGACTACATGTGCACACTAGGGAAGCGTTTGGTGGGTTCTCGTTTAAAAATGTAAAGGTAAATAGATTCATATAGCTAATAAATATCAATCTACGTATAATTGCAATACGAGGAGCGATTTTATCTTAGTTCTTACACTTATGATATGTTAATCGCCACAACGAAAATTTGTGTGGATAATTTTCATTATCTATTCATAATTACCTTGTATTTTGGTCAGAATATTTAACCTGGAGAACCATGCAAGCTACCACTCGTGACTTTTATCTCCCTTTCGTGATAAAAAAACAACCACTTTTCACCTTAAAGTTCACGGAGACTGTCATGGTCGAAATATGACGGTCATCGCCTGTCTTGAGGCATTTATTAAACCCCATATTCCTTTGTGTGGACTCTTTGAAGTCATAATTACTTTCACACCTGAGCTTAAGGTCAGCATTAGTACAAACACTTCTATTTATTAACATTGATTAGCGTTATAATACAGCACAGTGACAATCAGATATTTGGTTTTCTTGATAAACTAATACTTTTGTTATGGTACTAATTGCTCGCCCGGGGACAGGGGTTCCTCTTTCCTTTAGAAATTTCCACTTACTTCCCCTTATCCCCCACAAAATACAGTACAACTGGCTAAACCAGACAAAACCAAGCGGACCGTTTAGTTCTGTGTTTTACATAATACTGGCGTTAATATATGTAAGTCGAACTCATTTACTATTTTATGTTTTTTTTTGTCACTTTTGCCCCTTTCTCCCCTTTAAGCCAAATTCTGGATTCGCAGTGATTCCTACATGAATACTGGTATATTGTCAGTGTTTCATAAAATCATATTTATAGATGCATCGTTCTCTTTATAATTCCACAGACCGTTTCCAAATTCAGTTTCATGGGAAGATTGATAGTTATTTTGAAGCAGAGCTCTTCAAAATTTCTCAGGAAGATGGCAAAACTCCTAATTTAAGTGCAACTGCAAAAACAAATAGCATGCTTCTTATAATGGGCAGAGCAGTTAAAACTGTTTTGTGGGGTCTAAGGTTATTTATAAACCTACCAAACAATTTAGAAGAAATAAAAATCCCCCTTTGAAAGCGACACTATAATCATGGTCATGTTTTGTGAATTTAACCTGTAATATGTAAAACTCACTGAAACTATTACAAGTACCACTGACCACAAATAAGTTTATTTTTGAATCTAATATATTTTAAATATATCACTGAGCATAATATGGAAATGAATTTCCTTTATTTGTAGCCATTTCGTCTAGGTTGCTTGTACAACCTCGTGTGTTGACGTGCATATTCCTACCGCGAAGACCCTTGCGTAATTTAAAACTTCGTGTTACTTGAAAAATGTAGTTTTATCGATGATGGTTAATAATAATAATAATGATAATGATAATGATGATGATAGTAATAACACTTGGAGTCATATGAGAATAGTTGAGCTGAAATAGAAAATAAAGCAAAATAAATATAAATAAGGGGGGACGTTATAATTTTGGAAAACCCAATGTACTTCTTTCGTGTCTGTATCAGGGAAGTCACCAAATATACATCAAACACCAGACTGATGGTGCTCATTGTGACAATGACAAGAGTCCTGCCATGGCTACCATGGTAACGAGTCCATGCGGCTCACATTGTTATCAGATGGACAAATGTGGAGAGTGCTGTATTTGCAATTAACAATTTTACCATATGGTAACAATGGAAGTTTGTCATATGACGATGAAAAAAAAAAAAAAGAAAAAAAAAAAAGACACAGTGCTGGTAAACAAGCCCTGATTTTGTAACACACGGTGAATTGTACGTGTGTCTTCGTCAAGAAAGGCAAGACTAGAAATGGCAGTAAAATGTGAAAACCGTGATAATTTGGCATCAGTTAAAAACTAAAATGATATTTGGTATAAATGATACAGCAGACGGCACTCACAATGGAACTGCTGATCTTACATGAACGATATAAAGAGCATCCGCAAAAAGCGACATGGTATCATTGAATTATTGTATTCTAATGACAGCCCGGATATTGACTGATTTGTAGCTTATCTTGAATAATTTATATAACTTATATAACTTAAATAACTTTTGGACTGACGTAACAGCACTTCAATTACTTATGACATTTTATGGTACTCTTCTTGTGCTGTTATTGTGCGGTAATCAAGCGTCATTTAATATACTTTTCAAACTGTTAAGTTTTGCCAGTAAATTTATTTTTTCTTTCTGAAAAAAAAAAATGGAACACATTTGCACACTATTGTCGATAAAATATTCAAGCACGCAAATGCAGGAGCGTATTTATCATATCTACGTACTTCCACCTGTTTTGTTGCATAGAGTTGTGTTATCAGAGTGACCTATGACTTCGATCTTTCAATTATGCTTTTAGTCATACAAGGAGCGTCACACCTTTATATAGTAAAACACATCTGATGATATAAAAATGAATAAAGAGATAACAACTTCATTTTGACCAAAAATGTTTTTCCTGGGATAAACGACCGACACATTCCCATGCATAAAAATGGTTAATGGATCTGTTCCGACAGTAAAAAGTAGCCTCCGTTTTTCTTTTTTTTTTTTTTTTTTTTTTTTTTTTTTTGGGGGGGGGGGGAGGGGAGGAAGTGTCAACAAATGTCATGAACCATGACTTGATGGTCAGTAACAATATAAAACTGGCGTACTTTTGACAGTTGATGTCATAACCACCGGCTCATTGCCACAAGAACTTTGCGAGGTACTCATTTCTCAGTCATAACAAGGGAACGGTTATGAAATGATTTGCCCTCGAGGTCGGGTCACTATCACAGGTGCTACATGCTTCGGCGATAGATGTCAGCACTGGCTTAAACGATTTGAATCTCATTTCTTTATTCTCTACTTCTAACTATTACGGACTTAGCTACAAATACAAAAGTAAATAAATAGCTACAAATAAAAAATAAATATATAAATAAGGTAATAATCATTAACACAAATTAATAAATAAGTAAAAGCGATTACTTTTGCATCATGTGGTAGCTATTCTGTTATATTGCAATATATGTATGCCAACGAAACTTTGATCTTCTTGCTTCAGTTCAGGGAATTATTATTATTATTATTATTATTATTATTATTATTATTATTAAAATCAAGTACGCATTGTAAGCCTTTTATCCCGTAACATACAGTAGTCATGGTAGCATATCGCATTGTATTATATATAAACGTCTTCCTATGGTTAAATATCACCCCCTATTGTTTTCAGTCCATGGATACTCCCGAGGTGCGGGGATGCAGGCCTGTCTGACCATGATGCCTCTACACGGCCCCAGTCCTGAGAGAGGAAGCGGAGGCTTTGAAGTCACCGCCACACAGGATACCTTCTCACCCGGTGACATCGTACCAGGTAAATTGTCTTAATGCCAAGAACTGGAGAGCGATTCCTAGAGTACAACAAATCAAGTACGATTCGCAACCTAACGCTAATGGAGTGAAAAACCAGAAAATACAGAACGTTATTGAAACGCTACCATAACGCTAATATAATTTAAAAAAACGTAATGGTAACGTTATAGTAACGCTCTATGTTAGCTGGAAAGGAAACTGAATTCCTTGAAATATATTGAGAAGATTGGGTACAGTTGAAATCTTGATTTTTTCGCTCACTCCTAATATACCGCTTGTCCTGAAAATTTCACCAAAGTTTATGTTGAGATATCTTGTCCAATATCAATCAGGCACCAACAGACAGACAAACCAACGCATTCTTATCCTTGGCGAATGTAATGCGTTTACTTTTTCCGTACATATTCACTCATTTTAAGTACTGTTTTATATAATATTTTTACTGCCATGAGGCAATACCTGTAATGAATTCGGACATTTCACAAAGAGCTACTATATACAAAACTATAGACCTTAATCCAAACCAAAGTACCGTTTATTCTCACAAAAAGTGGCAATGTGTAATATCCCGGCCACAATTCTCTCTCTTCTCTCTCTCCAGTGACAATAAGCGGGATCAGGCCGTTCAAAGGCTTCCTACTCCAGGCCAGAACACCGAGAGATGACACCATAGTGGGCACCTTCGAGCCGCCACCTGAGGGCGTTCGTTACCTTGCGGAGTGTGGAGACAGGAACAGTGTCACCCACTCCAATCCCAATCTCAAGTCCTCTGTCACAGTGTTCTGGAGGGCGCCACGGTCGGGGCTGCTGAGGAGTATACGGTTCTAGTAAGTACCAAGACTTAACCTTTCTGTTAATTTTTTCACGTTGTATTGTAAAGTCTACTGAACACATTTGGATTTAAGACTCAAAATAAATATTATTATTATTATTATTATCATTGTCATCATCATTATTATCATTATTAGATATTAATCATATAATGATATCATTATTATCATTATTAGATATTATTAGATATTTAGCTATTTAGTATCTAAATTTTCTTCCACCTGCAGCGATAAAATCTAAATAAAGATAGTTTATAAAGCAGAGCACCTTTGGTCTATTGTAATCTGTCATTTACGGCTGTAAATTATACGCAAAATTGATGCATTTTAAGGACTTATAAACATGCGCTGTTTGTGTCTGCCGCTGTCGATTGGTTGACCTTCTGTTCAAAACGTGAAATATATAATTTCATAACTTCTTTCAAATACATTAAGGAGGGAATCGCCAGATCTTTTATGATTTTGATTTGAAATGAAAAAAAAGGGTATATTTCAGTAATTTGAATACCTCACGTGCTTCTGCCCATGAATGAAGGGGCTCGAACAGATACGAGCAGCGGTACCTGCGATATTTTTTATTCATTTTTGGTTATTTGCTTTATAGTTCTTTACGCTTACAGCATCTGTAACGTTATATCTGTTAATTTGTTTATAAATTTCTGTTTTATTTCTTTCTAATTTTATTACTGCATTTTAGTACGGTTGCCGTACACGCTTTTAAATGTCTTTCAGAGATGTTAATTTGATGCATTTCACCTCCAATAGTATTTGTCTATTTTTTTCTTGTTAATGCATTTTCAGAAGTTGTTAAAATTATATTCTCCTTCTGATACGCTTATTTCATTCCATAGCGTAACAGTGGTAGAGTCATTTAGCCAGATCTACCGTAAACTAACTTCAGAGATCGTCATATCAGAGTTGGACGTTGTTCAAGCGGGTAAGACACCAGATGGTTCACAAATCACCGGCTCAAGTGCATATCATCATGTGACGGTTCCCTGACGGAGTCATAGTCTACGCAGGGGTTAATTTCTTATCATTATAAATGATGATTTATACCCAAAAATCAAAATCGATTTTAGTAGTTTGTTTTGCGTAAAATGAATAAAACTTTCAAAATACGAGACCCAAATTTTGATAAACGTGACTCCAGGGTAGAATTGGAATTTTTTCTGCGAAAGCAATTTCTAATACAACTCGTACTCTTGTTATGGTCGATTAGATTGAACGTGCAGCATTTGCAGCGTGGTACCACCGCCGGTGCTTGCATTAAAAATTTTCATCTTTCATGGAATCGAAAATCGACAACAGGGCCTTCGCAGCTTACAAACCAAATCCAGTTTGAAAGACAGGCACCCGACATTGTTATGTGATAATTGCACTTGGTGAGATTCGCTGATTTGTGAAGTATCTCACATTTTATTTAAGATTTAATTATTTAAGATCAAAATATTTTTCTATTCTATTTTGTCATCAGCGCGACGTTCGTGGAGGAGTTTGCCACAATCTATCGTAAGCTATCCTCCCGACCAATCGTTGAGGTGCACGTGCACGAACCCAAGACAACCCCAAGGTCAAGGCCTGTTGGTGAGAACACTGGTCACGTGTCCATGTTTCGCACCATATAGCATGCTTCTGTGCTGGTCTTGTCTAGCTTATGTATTTATACTTTAACTTGGGCATTTTTGTATGTGACATTCTGGTAACTTACCTTGATATTTATTCTTCTTCGTTATGGAGACAGTTTGGTGTCTTCTTTTTGGTCTTACAAATTAGGTCCAAGCGAGAGCGTCGATGTCAGCTTATATATTGTTCGTTGGTGCGTTAAAAGCAGGTAAATGAAAAAAAAGTGGTTTGAAATGGTGAATTGGGTCTTCTTAACGTAAAATTCCAAGAGAAGATTTGGTAGGGTATATGTATGCGGTATTCTTTGTGAGATAAAAGAATGTTGTCTTTGGCTATGTCATGAAATATGGATGGAACTGAAATTCACCATAGCTCTCAGGGTTTCATGCTACTCGCATTCCTTGATATTTAGGCTCATTAAAGTGGTCTGTATACATGCGGCATATTATGTATTGCTTGTATTCCTTTCTATTTTACTCTTTTGCCATTTTGGTATTTCGATCTGAAATGACAGAAAACAATTGTGAACTGGTTACATTGCGTTTGCTGTGGTTTAACATTTCGTGAGTGTGACCTTGTGAAGTTTTCTTTACTAATACTACATCTACCGAAACTTAATAGTCATTTTATGCACCGACGCCAAATGTTTTCACCCCCTTTGTCTCTTTGTTTGTTTGTTTGTTATTTCCTATTGACTTTATATTATTTTTGTGACCTGTGGCGTTTTCTCGAAGGAAAGTGAACATGCAGTTAACAGTTCCTCGCTTTTAATGTTGTGATTTGCGTAATATAATATAATATAATATAATATAATATAATATAATATAATATAATATAATATAATATAATATCTGCTTCTGCAAAGTAACGTCGTGAATCACGTAAGTTAAAAATAACGACTGATGACGGAAGATGTGATGATTTCACAATGCATGTATAGTCTGACATGAAAGGTCTGACAGTTAATGTGCTTTACACATGCTATAGCCTTAGAATAATAATGATACATATTTATTACAACTCAATTTTAGGGCTTAGTTAAAATCTGATAATTGCTGGTTTTGAAATTTTGGATTTTACGGATCTGTTCAATCCTGAAACATTCTCGTCTACCTGAGGAGAATACAACCCAAATTGCGTCATAAATTGGGTTCACAGGTACCAGTAATACGACGACAATGTGGACATCAATATCAGACATAATTGGTCATAACATCATTACGTCTTAATCAATCTTATCTGCCCCAATTTTTGCCGCCATGGCGGGAGTGTCTGTAGCTGCGGTAAGGTAAGATTCCCACCAGTTATGATTTCTCTTAAACCAGTACTAGTGGTGCCGTGTGTGGTGTGACCGAGATAGAATTGATCCTACAAGTTCAAGATATGTGAAAGGGGGAGTGGTTGGCCGCCATTCAAATTCCCTTTTTACCTGCTTCTACTCAAACGGCTAGTAAATAATGCTTACTCCTAGCGTTATGGCTTTAATCTATTTTTCATTTACCAAATTAAATTATTTTAATCGCCATTTTGACATTTAGTACTTTCTATCTTTTCTTTAAATAACACTTCAGTGTCCGCCCGACAGTTATAAAGATGAATAAGTTGGCATCTAATTTTGTAGTATTATAAAAGAGCTAATATTCTCTTATCCTGTTCTTTTTAAATAATAATTATTATTATTATTTTTTTTTTTGAAAAAAAAAAAGCAGTTGCTTCGGGTATTTTGGCTCTTTGCACCAGTGATCACACTTCGTTCTTTCTCTCTGACAAATATTGCGTAAAATGCCTTACCCTAAAAAAGCAAACATACCGCCTGCACTATTACCCAACTAATATAAGTGTGTGTGGAGTAATGGCTTACCAAGCATATGAATCATTTTGTCCTTCGTGTCAACCTCGTTTTGTATTTGTCAAGATGAATAATTGGGACTTTGAGGAACACTCAGGTGTCGGGACGGAGTGGGAAGACATATTGTTATTGTCGTCCATGGTGACCGTCCCTGTGACCCCGCCTCAGTCACGGATATAGCCCCGGTGTGACGGGACCTGTTTAGAACAAAGACGACAGCGGGAGAGGTGACACCCGAGCGTGTCGCGACAAAACGTGACTGTATTCAGAAAACCGTTTGTTAATTTACCCACGACGCAAAACATCACAAGGCGAAGAAAAGCGAAAATAAGGCACAGAGGAAAAACGGTGGATATATCTAATTTTGTTCCAGTGCACTGCATATCTTATATTGGACAAGGAATATAAATAATTTCACTAAAAAGAAAGGTCGCGTTTATACTGGACGGCGACAGTACCGCCTGTGTCATCATTAAAAGTAGGAAAAAGATTACTCCGTCTGATACATATTCCGCCTATACATTTGGATAACGGTACCGGAGTAGCATAAACATTGGCATAAGCTGAGGAAACAAAGAGCCAGTTGTCTATTCTTGACGGGATTTCGCCAGATTTCTTGAGAATTTCATTGCACTTTCGTGCTAAACAGCGCCTTTACGCCAAAGCTCCAAAGTTCAAGGTTTGCTAGACAACAGAACCACCATGCGTCTTGTATTAACGTACTTGACGTTAACTGTATGTCTTAAAGTGGCTCTGGCGGCGTCCCTGGGACCGTGGAGCGAGTGGGGCGCCTGTTCTTCCTCCTGTGGTAACGGTCTACAGATCAGAGAGAGAGAGTGTATAGGAGAGGGCCTTTGTGACGGCCAGACAGTGGAGGGGAGGTCGTGTTACGCCGGACAGTGCGGGGGAGTAGGTCTGTAGACTGAATTACGATAAATAAATAAATAAATAAATAAATAAATAAGGAGTAGGTATGTAGGCTGATTTATGATAAATAATAAATGAATGAATAAATAAATAAAGATAGTAAGTCAGAAATAAATATGCAGTACTCGTTCTAGTTAAAATGTGAAAAATCCGTTTCATTAACAATCAGACTAGCTTACAACTTAGATGAGCTTTTAAACAAAACCGCCGACAAGATCAAAGCATGTTGTGATCTAATATTCTCGAATAATCCCCAGTATAACCACTCCTGCTTTGATTTAATTAAAACTGACTCAGAACTCTACTTTAGAGTTCTGTTATAATATCATACTTGTGTAGACGATATTATATCGCTATTATAAATTATATATAATTATGTGTCATGATCAGCAAGCCTATGTATGATGTCAATATCACCCTATCTTAAGGATGGGTAATTTTAGATCAAAGTGTTCCGGTTGAAAAGTTTTACCTATGATAAAGATTAGTCATGTAAAATGGGATGAGGCACATTGGCACCCAAACACCATGGAACTGTGTTAATATCCAACGTTTTAATCTGAATTTTTGCCAGGTTTTACCAACTTGGTTTTACCGTGGCCTCAAGTTTAGATATGGAAGATATGGAAAGGAAGTGAAATTTCAAAAAGATTCTAATCTGGGTGTTACCTGGTTTTAACCTGGTTTAGATCGCCTTCTGGAAGGTGCAGGTTTAAAGAGGAGATGTCGGCCTAATTTGTCTGACACATAAAACACATTCTAGATTAAAATCGACAGTTTTGTGGTAAGGGTTTGGGAGACCTTCACGCGGTCGATGTGTACGGCACCCACTTTCAAGATGTGCCAGTATTCAGTGAATGTAACATGATTTTATAATATTTGGGTTACGTTCTTGGGGGATAACTAAATCTTTATTTTTCTTGTGTGTGTGTGTGTCACTCAGAAAGAATGCGGCTCCAGGAATATAATTTAAAGATAAAAACCTGTTGGAATGACACCACTCATATACTTGCAGACCAAGGCCCAAGCTCGGGAAGTGGGGAGAGGGGGCAATAGAATTAAAATGAAATAAATGTAAAACAACTGACATAACTATGAAACAGTAATGTGCATGACAAGGAGGTGGTAATAAGGGTTTTGTTTGGTTGCCTGTTACATTATATTTTGAGCCAAAAAGGGACACCTCCGAAGTTAAAAGATTGGAGTTGGAGGGGGGGGGGGGGGGTGCATGTCAACCACTGTGCAGCCTGGATCCGCCTCCCTCAAATCACGAACATTGAGCTGTCTATTTTGTTTCTAACTGAGACAATGAGCCGTTTGTGTGCGACCCTTCTACTGCTTTATATGCTCTTTTGCTGCAACTTATGTTCGTTTATTACAGATACACATTGTGTTATGGTGACCACTCTATATTTTGACATACAAATATCTCAATGACCTTTCATAACTGCAAGTCAGCTTTTTTATGAAGAGGAATATGATCTATTAGACATCATATCTGAGACAAGTCATTTTTAACTGACCAGACACGCTTGTTTTGGCAAAATATTTTGAATGTGTGTGTAATATTAGACCCTTGGATCTGTGTACTGCAAGTGCTAATGTAGAAAAAAAAAAGCACGGTTTATCCCTAAGACAGTTATTCGGGGGGGAAAGAAGTGACCACGATTTCAACAGAAGCGTCGTCTTTTAAAAATTGGAAAAAAATGTGTTTGCCCTTGGCGGAGGTCTGAGCTCTCATCGCACCCTCTTGTTAATTCATTCATTCATTCATTCATTCATTCATTCCATCACTCGCCGTGAAGCAGCTCCGGTCAAATGGCTGCTGCCCAGTATGGCCAAAGAGGGCACATGGTCGGATAACAAAGTGTTTTTTAATGAAGCATTTACACTTGTGCAAAACCACCATTTATTAAGTCACAGTAACGATATATACAGGGTATACCCATAATATGTCTTGTGAGTCACCGAGAGAGTGTCCTTGGAGAAGGTTGCCTGCAATGCAGCGGCAGCCGATTAATTTCTTTTTCTCTTTAAATGAGTAGGTATATGGCTAACGTTTAAGGAATACTACGTTGTTTGCTCTATTTCTTGCTTTGGCTAAGGTCTGCGCCCCAGGAGATCTGTCTTGTATTTCTATGTAATACGGAGTCTTACAACGGGCGTTGGGAACTATACATTCACATTGCCATATAAATTCCTGTTAACAAACATGGCTAACGACAGAAGTCATGAAGTTCGTTTATCATAGCCGTGTTTCTGTGTACATTCATATTTATCAAACACCTGTAGGACTTGGACCAAATATGTGTACTCACAGCATCCCTCTCCAATTATTTCATGTATTTATTCGTTAAACAATGCCTATGCAGTACTAATAAAGTCACTATAAATGTATAATTTAGACTGCAATAATAATTTTTTAAAAATACACAAAATGTTTGGTATGACAAAAAACTGATGCAGATGAATAATTATTTTCTATATGTATACCGCTTACTTGACAATTTGTATATGCCTATATGTAAACATATATCTCAGCTGGTGTAGTTTGTGGGCTGACAATGGTTTTTGAAGGCGATAGAGAAGGTTTGGTATTAACAATTTACATGCAATGTTTATGCAGCTTGATCAACAATGACGAAGTCAGCATTTTAATTTACATCTTAGCTGCAATGTGTTTGATTATCTGTTAAGTATTTGATAATCTGTAACTTTACACCCAGGATAGGCAGACAGACTGATTTAACATTGATTTAACGATGGCATTGTTTCTTGGAAGGTAGCATAACACTGATTTTGTATTTATGAGCATACAATAGGCGTTAGACCTTCATATAACAGTAATAAAAAAATACTGTTTTTTTTAGCAACTTTACTTTTAAAACCAGATTATACTCCATCAAAAATTATTCAGAGAAATGTGACTTTTGCTATATAAAGTTCAAACGCTCACAGTATGCCTTTATACAATTTGTTGAAATGTCATTAACATAAGCCACGCCCACTTTCAGAGTACGGTCCCTGGGGCCCCTGGTCCACGTGCTCAGCTTCGTGTGGTCCCGGCATCGAGCAGAGGACTCGGGTATGTCCGGGTAACGCCGTGTGTGCCGGAACTCCGAACGAGATCAGAAGCTGTAACCTAGTAAATTGCGGTAGGTAGAGAGGCCATGGGACATTTCTGTTTTTGGCGTAATTTAAGAACATTATAAGCAGTTGTTTATTAGACTATTGGGTAAACAATTATTACTCAAAATGTTTATTAATGATACTCTTAAAAATGAAATATACTGAAATGTCTTATTGTGGTGAACACATTGTAGTGAAATATTTAAAAGTTGTTTTTAGAATCTAAAATGGGTAAAACTTCCAATATGATATTATGGGTGTTTTCAAAACGCGTTCCTGTAATATATCTAATCTAAGCTAATAAGTAATTGTTAATGATAATAAACAAAAGGGAAAAACAACCTAACACCTTTTCTCTATCTAACCTAGAGCCCCATTAAATAGAAAAAATAATTTAGTGTACCGTAGCTTGCACCAGGCAATCTTTCAAGAACCTCGCTGTACAGATTACATAAGAGGCCAGCTGTCCCGGCAAGCACAGGTTTTTACCTCTTTTAACTCTCCTAACCCGCACACCTCGTATTAGGGAAGATAAATGACCCTGTCACCGAGGAAATTGGTGACAAACTGGTCTGTTATAAATAAAACAGATTGGGGCGAGACTTCATTGCTGAAGTGGTGTGTTACACAATGGGGTAGTGTAAGAAGTGGTAGTTTTAATCATGCGTCTAAAAGACTTTGAGGAAATAACAAATACGAAATACATGAATGTCAGTCTTTGTTTAGTACACGGAGATTGAATATTTAGTAAACTGGCATTCTGTCATTTAGGATGAATAGAAAAGTTTAAAGAAAAGTGGTCTGTTCCAGGCATAACACTTCCAATTTTTTCCAATAAACCCCATCTATTACCTCGCCACTATAATTGCCATTCCTTACCCGAGCCGTCCATGCTCTTTCCCATTTATTTGAATGTGACACCATAAATGCAAACGGAAACCAAATCATTCGATTTTGTTTAATGACATTGGTCATCAAAATGAATAATGAAATCTAATAAATATGCATCCCACAACCCCAAGGCAATGGAATCAACATCGGAACTGAAAGTATTGCTCGTGACTATTTTTTATTAATTTACCGAGAGCTTAAGCTTGCTGCACTCATCTTAAATAGTCATGTTTGTTGTTGACCTAAATTTTATGTTATTCTTTAACTGCTCGCCTACATAAACTCTTGCGCAATATAGTCTCAGTGTTATATACTGGGGAGTTTTACACTGATGGCGAAAGCGAGGCCGGTTTTCGACCCTTAGTCCTGCTAAATCAAGTGACCCCAAATTTAAGCTCTGCTAGACTCTTCTATTCCATACTTCAACGTCTACCTGAGCCGATTCTAAATACTTCTCGTTTCGTCTACTGAAAATACGACGTTATGTCTGCACTGGTAGTTGGGTTGTCTAAAGACGCAAGTTTGTCTGAATTGATTTGAACCCGATCTCCTGCAAAACAACTTTGTTATGTTGAGTACAATTGAATGATTTTGTAAGAGAAACCATTCTGATCACAGTATGTTTCAATTTAGAGAGCAAAAGAGCAAGTCTAAATTGGCGTGCTCCAGTGACACTGACACATCACATCCTGTGATGTCAGAATACCGTGTTGACGCTCACGAAGTTATCAAGGTCGGGGTGTTTTATGGGGGTTGGACACGATAAGGTGGCGGAGGCCTTTTATCATGCATATAATACTAATATATTCAGCCGTACGGTTACATCCACTTGCATATCGTTTTAATGGTCTATGGTATTCTAGATATTATGATATACGGACTTGACTGGCTCATATAGTCTGCTGCATTGTTATTTCAGACGACTGTAGTCGGAGATAGTGTCAAATACATGGTTAAGCAAAAAATATGAACAAAAAGACAAAATAAAAAAGTTTTAACAACTTTTAAAATATTTTGATTCTTTGTTATTATAATGAATATTGATAAATGCATGAATGGATGAACGAAGGACCAGATAAACAGATACATTTACACTGGAAAACTCATTGTAGGACTTAAAAGTCAGTGCCATTACATAACTTGCAGCGAAGACAGCAGAGCACATTTATCAGCCAAATTACGGAAGATACTAACTGTGCATGCTATTGATAAAAAAGAAAAAATACATAAATTGATGAGGGAATTAAAAATGAGGAAAAAATTAATTAATTAAATATTTGTGTGAATCCTATCCCTTTCGCAACATCCTATAACTGCTAACACACTGAGTGTGCACTGTGTACACTGTAGCTTTATTTTATCACATAGCACGGTAACTGTTGGTATTATTATTATTATTATTATTATTATAAATAACACATTTCATAGCAATCACAATTGTTTACAAATTAAAAGGTAAACTCTCTTCCAGGAGAGTTAAACTACGGTCCGTGGTCAGTATGGGGGCCCTGTACGGCCACATGTGGGTACGGTATGCAGGATAGGACCAGGGAATGCAACAGTCCCTTCGGCTGTGCTGGTCTCGCCACGGAAACCAGACAGTGTACGCTGTTAGACTGTCCCACAATTGTTAGTAAGTGTGAACTTACCATCACCACTATCGTCAACATCATCATCATCATCATCATCATTATTATTATTATTATTATTATTATTATTATTATTATTATCTTAATAATCATCATCATCATCAGTGCTCTTCGTCCCGTGTGGGACATAAGGCCACATTATCGTAATAAGACGCAGACTTAATTTGTTTCAGCTTACATACTGTGGTCTATAGTATGTCAGATTAACATTGATTAACTTACCCAATATCTAAGTTTGGCCATAGTCCGTTTCAAAGAGGTATTGGATACAATATTTAAGGCAGAGAATTCCTGTAAAATTTAACAATTTTGAAACTTATTTCAAAATTTTCGGTGCAAGTTTTCTCTTCTTTGTTTTCATATAACTACCGGTATTTGATTTCGTTATATGTAGCGAAAGAGGCATTAGTTTTATAAAGATAGCTATGCAAATAATAATGGGAGGTCTGCTGTGTGGTTTTACAAGTGTTTTACTAATGTAGTATAGTATAGTATAGTATAAAATATAGTATTGTAAAATTAGTATAGTGCCAAAAATGCTTTTCTGTGTTTAGTTTTAAATTATTTTAGAGTGTGGATTTTTAAATTATACTTTTCTTAGACTCGGACCGAGATCAGAAAACAGTAGTAACTAACAAGTGGGGTAGAATCAAGGAGTTTCAACCGTTTCAACTGTTGTAACTCCTTTGTAGAATTAACCTTAGACTTAACTTAGAATACACTGGTTGATTTTAGAAGCCACGTGGGGCGAGTGGTCGTCTTATACCAGTTGTTCTGTATCCTGTGGTAGCGGCGTGCAGTCCAGGTCACGTGTTTGCACTGTAGATGGCGCGTGTGTAGAGGGCGCGGCCACAGAAGAAACTCCCTGTGATGCAGGAGCATGTCGTACGTAGTTAGCAGGAAGCAGTTTAGTGATCCTACAAATGTAGTTTAGAATATTGTGCTAATTTTGATTTTTCTAGGATACTAAAAGCATTGATTTTTATACCTTTCTGCTTGAAGAGTGGATATAAAACTTCTAAATAGAGAGGACTCAGTTGACATTACATGCTCATCAAAACTACTTGGTATTTGCTTTAGGGATTTTAACATGGACTATTTTACGTGGTTTTATTACAACCACACATATAGGTCTAAGATTACATTCACCACCCGTTGCGATTAACAACTGAATGATTCTGATTGAAACTGCATGCATTTTACAACGAATTTCACCTTTGAACTTAAAGTCGACGTTATTGTTTGCGGATAAATGGCTTTGGGGTGTTCTTTTCACTCCTGAACATATCAAACAACACTCAATATTATATATACCTTTGATTTTCTAGCCGTGAACTGGAACCCGTGGTCGTCATTTTCACCCTGCTCTGCTACCTGCGGCACTGGGACCCGATACAGGAGTAGAAACTGCCCGTTAGATGGCGCTTGTATAGGGGGCGAGGCAAGAGAGACGATTCCATGCGATGCTGGCGCCTGTCGTACGTAACACAATCATTTTTTTTATTATGATTCCCGAGGTTTCCGACAAATTATAAAACAAATTAATTGCAATCCAATGTTGTTTGTATATGAATATACAAACTCATATGTTTTACAATGTTACATTTCCATGAAGGATTACAAGCTAATTGTTCCATTAAACTCAAACATTAAATTAAGTTACAAGCATCAAGATACAAGTTATCACTTCTCACCGAGTTTCGCAAATACATTTCATTTAAGAATGTAATACTTAAAGAATTTTTCAATTTTCAGCTGTGAATTGGAACCAGTGGTCGCCATTTTCGGGTTGCTCAGCAACTTGCGGTAGCGGGGTCATCTTCAGATCTCGAACTTGCCCGATAGATGGCGCTTGTATAGGGGGTGCGGCACGGGAGGAAAGGACGTGTGACGCTGGACCGTGTCGTACGTATCTGACAAAATGAAAAAACGCTTTGTACTTTATGGTCTATGTTATGTACAAATTAATATGCTTTGAATTTTAATAACAATATAGGCCTATTATACATTATTTGAAGTGGGACAAAACTTACTTATCGTTCATTTCATGTATCACTGCAATAATTTATTTAAAATAATAATGTACATTAAGAAATATGCCAGTAAAGAATTATTATTAAAGAACTAAACGCAATACAGTAAAGTAAAATAGCGAAAGTATAGTATAATGGAAGAAAATATAAAAATTGGACTACAAAATAACTAAATGAAACATAACATTACTTACATATAGATGCTTACATATAGAAAGCGGCCAGGTAGAAAGTTGTTTTAATAGATAATTTTTTAATCATAAAAATAAAACTAGGATATATATAAAGCTACGTAGATTGTAACAACTTAATATTTTAGCGGTTTTCTGGGGCGAGTGGGGGCCATTTACTGCTTGTTCGTCTAGCTGCGGGGCTGGTGTGCAGACGAGAAAACGAACTTGTCCGATAGAGGGCAGTTGTGTAGGAGGAGCCGCGGAGGAAGAACAGAAGTGTGATGCAGGAGAATGTCGTATGTAGTCAAATAGTTTAATCAGTTTAAATTAAAAAGGAACAAAGCTATCATCAGAGAAATTACAAATACATATAGGTTTGGCGAAAATTTAATAATTTATCTTACACTTGCCCATTTTATAACTATCAATGGGTGCATTTGTTATACTAGTAATGTGCACTACATTTTGCTTATAGAAAGTAATCCTTTAATGGTGGGATAGGGAAAGGTCGTAGCCATTCAGAAAAAAAAAATAGTGACACGAAAATGGGGAGTCCTCTCACACCTTTAGCGATAAAGACTGATGTGGTTGAAAAAAAAATAAATGTTTGCAACCTGTTATTATTTGTTAGTAGGCTACGTATTTTTGCGCAGCACTGTTCACTGCTTTTTAACCATTTCATAATGTATACACCTTTATCATTCTTTTAAACTGAACTTGGTCAATGTGCTCTGACAGGGTGCGGGTTTTATTAACAACAGTTCCGAATTTTCTTTCCAAATCAGCCATGTTTATCGCTGCTATACTTACTGCATATGTACAGTAGGTGTACTTACATGTACTACAATAGAAGAGTTAGATATTTTAACGTTTCTTTTCTTATAAAATTTTTTTTGTCTATTGGACATAAATAAGGAGGGGGGGGGGGGGTTGGGACAGGAGAAAGTGACTATTTGACCAAAAATAGCATCTATCTACAAAATATATATATAAAAAAATTGTGACTAAAATACTGGACTTTAAAGGACCAAAATGGCTGATGTGAGAGGAAAATAACTCGGACTAAATTCTCTTTTCCTAAATATAGGCCTACACACCTAACAAAACCTGCTATATCATATCTGGGAAAGACGGTGCGCGGTAGACCTTTACTAAAATATAGCAAAAAAAAAAGTGAATCGAGGAAAACCCAGGTGTAAATCTTTATTCGCTGATACCACACCCATAAGCGTGGTGCAAATTGTTAAACAGAAACTTTTTTTAAAATTTCTCCAATTTCTAATTCTCTCTTTGAAATTCACCATGTCTCAAACTTCAAATTGAAAAATAAAAGTGAAAGCTTCAAAAGGTCTACTACGCACTGTGTCCCTGTCACCTGTGTTTGCCTTGCTCTCACCCCGACACCTTTCCAGCTCTCCTATGGGGGCCTTGGTCAACGTATTCTCCCTGCTCGGCAACCTGCGGCGTTGGGATGCACTTCCGGCAGCGAAAATGCCCGATAGATGGCGGTTGCCCCATGGGGTCTGCTGTTGAACAGATGCAGTGTTATGCCGGAGATTGTCGTACGTAATTCCACTTAGAACCACACTGCATCAGTTGTGTTGTGCGTTCTAGGACCCATGTAGCAACTGCATACAAAAAAAAAAAAAGGAAAACAATTAACCTAAGCGTTTTCACTGCAAGCTTTTAATACAGACTTGACATTTAATATGGAATATTTTTTTCCAAATCATTTTTCATCAGTTTTTTCCTATTTTGCTGACTGATAAATGAAAAAAAGGATTAAAATAGTGTTTTAATAACTTTTGATTAACTCTTTGATGTCATTGTGACATCAGTTCATTAATGGAATTCGCCAGAGAAGCAAACAAAAACACGTTGCCTATTCTATGTCATATAACAACCATTAAAAGAGATATTTGGGATCTCCATATTTTCCAAATTATTGTCTGTAAAAGAGTTACACGCTCCACAAAGGACCCCCATGTCAGTGTCTAGTCACAGTAACAGTCGCTGTTACGCCTGACCTATTCTGGCTGCTATCAGCGCTCTCAAGTGGCAAGGCGTTCCTTGGAATAGGTTTTAAGAGTTCAACCTGGAATAACATTCTAGGCATCGGTCACAATCTGTCCAATTTGGTCCAGTTTTGTTGTAGAACATGTAGGTCATTGATTCGGCGAGCAATGGCCTACCCACATATTGTCTATGTGGTTCAAATATGGCGATTTTGATGACCAATGTAGCTGCTCATTCCCTTGGTTCGGTAAGTAATCTGCTATTAAAAGTACTCTGTGTGAACCGGCAATCTCACCGTGCAACCTAAAATTGTTCCTAAGTTGTCCCCTATCAAATGATAGTCAAGTGGTTGCCAGATTATCCCTTTATTTGATCTGGTTCAGGTTTTCGTCGATGGCTACCATTTGTGTTTTGGCACCAATGTGGTATCCACTCCAAATACTGACGCTGTTAATGACCTTAGTCACTTTAGACGCGTCACACGCTTCGTCGTTGGACTCATCTGGATGTCTGTAAACTCCGTTTTGACAAGTTGAGCACTACAGGTGAAATCTGACCTCAATAAAGAATGCCACGAGGTTTCAGTGTTCAACCCAGAATCGGTCAAGGTCCCCAGTTTATTAGAGAAACATACAAAGATGTTTTTTCTGTTTACAGTGGGTTGCTCAGAGGTCGTCTGGTATTCTAACCTGCTAAAACCAGTTTGGTGTTTGCTAAGGGCCTTGAAAAATGCATTTTGGTGGCAATTTACCCCTCATTCTGAAGAGACTGGGTGGTTTTTGTTTAGTTGCAACAGCAAATCCAGAAAGACAGTTGGTCCTGTACCCTGGTGGTAAGATTTCAATACATTGGGTGTGGCCTCTGTGTAGGTACATCAGTCTAGGTATTACTCTATAAAACTGTGCGGACCGTTTCGTTTGGCGCAATAATCTG